GCAGCCATCTTTAAGTGGGCGTAAAAAAAATTGCCCGGGGGAGGGGCTGGGCGCAGGTGGAATTGACTAATGCATTACATGAAAGTAGTCCAAGAAAATTAGGAATATCATACACATAGGAAAACCTGTCCTTTTTAAAATGGACTCCATCAGTTTGGACACTTGAAGCGAAAACCGTCACTCAACATTGATCCTCAAAAGTCGACTGTAATAAATGGATCCTATACGTGCGTAGAAACTCGTTTTACTGATCTGATCATTGACAAGCATTATAGTTTCACCGTCTTGTTCACCGTCAGTAAAGGTGTATGTTTTTATACTCCCTCTTTAGCGCAGAAATTATAGCACTTTTTAAAAACCTGGTGGTGCCGCCTTAACATATTGCAAGCGATAACTGATTGATAAGGAATACAACGCCTTTTTCAGTCCAGTTTGAAAGAAAATAAAAAAAGGATAAAATTAATATATTTGTAAACAACTGCTCACCGTTTGGAAGGGTAGCTACTGCAAAAAAGCAAAGAAAATATTTCTTCATTGTGTTTTAACTTTAAGCCTGACTTCACGAAACGAGAGCCGTCTGGTTTTTAATCAAGCAAATTGTCAGAGTAATTTTTTATTACACATTTTTTAATGTCATTCATACTTCATTTGCATTATAGATATGGAACACAGCGGGGGGGGGGGGGAGGGTAACTTTACTGTTTTCCACCTAAGTTTTTTGGCCCACTTCGCGTACCAGTATGACGTCACATAGTAACGGGCAAGAACCTGGGGTTGCTTGTGCAAATAAGCAAGGGATACGACAGTTATTTGGACTAGTGAGGTCGAGGAAAAGCTAAGAAGCTAGCCAATATCGCTATATATCGCTTGTTTGATCGAATGTGTGTGAGCTTTGGTGTTGCTATAATAATTTTGTTAATTTGTTTTGCGGGCCGTGTTGCGGGATCGCCATCTATTTCACGGGACCGGCAAGGTCATCAAAACTTTTAAAATAAGCAAGGTCTAGTCTCCAGAATAGGAGGTTCTATTCACAGATCACACATGTTTATATTTAATCTATTCTTTTGTTAATTAACGGGCCTAACTTCATATCATTCCTTTGTCATCTCCTAATTCTCCGCCAAATCCAGTAAAGCTAGTTCAATCGATTATTTTACATTGAGTCGGCCCGTTGAACCAGAAATAATGCGAAATAGCTTTGAAATACGCGCTTAAGCTAATTTTCCCCTCAAATGTATATTTGAATTCATGATAAATACAGCTCCACCAGCTTCAAACAGCGTCTATGGTAGAGAAAAATTGTTTTGATATGACAAAATTAATTTCAAACCATGTGCGTCACTGTGGTGCAGTAGTCAAGTAGTTGCTTGAACGTGCAGATAAACCAGGTTCGGCTCCCGGCGTTTTTCTGTTTGGTCTCTTTTTTAAAAACTGTTTTTAATTTTGGCCTTTTTTTCTTTATTCTTACTGCTGACCCTGCTGGTCATGCACTTCGATCAATATATATTTTAAGCCTAAGTCCAGAGTTTTATTTTGGAAAAGGGATTTCAAAAGCTCTTGATCTGCATACTGGCCAAGCTTACGACCAGAAAAAACCATAAGATGTCAAGACGTGTCCCTCCTCTGAAACAGCTGAATTTTTTTCAATGTTAGTTGACATCATGATAAACAATACACAGTACACCACAAACTATACTAATTTACACCCAACATCTACCACTGACCCACTGGCGAAAGTTAAACAAGGGCCTTTGTACATCGTCTTTGGGTCAGTTGCCCCCAAAAAATAATAAAACGAAACCTTTTATTGGATTTCGGGATTTAATTACAGAATTACAGATGTATACCCAATGCAGAATTAAAGTGCGGTAAGCAACAAGATTCAATGCTCACCGTCTCTCACAAATACCTGTCATTTATACTCCACTTTCTGTATGTTTTGTTTATATGTCTGAGTTTTAGCGCTAAATAAGATATAGTAAGCCGTTTCGCGCGTTGCTAGGTGATCGCTTCTCTTATTCCTATTTCTCTTTTAATAGACGGTCTGAAAACCGGGTTCAAATTATTTGACGGGCAAGCCCAGGCAAGCCTATTGTTCCTATTGTAGTAGAGTGACGCTCATTAGTAAACCTATACCGAATTAGTATGCAGGAACACCCTAATTAGTATGGAGGAAGGCACTTTTTCCCTAGGTTATAACAATGGGTGACGTCATGGACTCGACCGTTATACATATTAATTAAGGGAAGGCATACGGAAGGCAAGGGAAGGCACCAACGGGGCTTAATTTTCAACATACTGACACTACTCCACGCGATCAGCGCCTACCTCAACGACTCTAATTGACAACATAATCAGCAATGTGCTGAAGCGAATCACATCCTTGTCTCACCATCAGTGACCATGATGCCCATACATATGTATTAACATCAGGGTTAATCTATTTGAGCCCCGATTCAAACTTGTTCGAAACGAAAAACGTTTTGACGAAAAAGCGGACTTTTCTACACTTTCATTTAGCCTGGACATCTTCAATTCGATGTTGAAGTCATGCATAGACACACATGCTCCACTATGCAGAACGAAGATCACCCGTCCCCCTGCCCCGTGGTTAAACACGGACGACATTGAGCAGCTCCAAAACGAAAGGAACGAGCTATCTTACCTTACCTAGCTACGAAATCTTGCTCGTAAGAGCAATTCAGTAAATTTCGAGAAGCACGAAACAATTAAGGACAAAACTTAAACAAGTAAAGTAGAGCGGTTGTTTTATCGGAGAGCCTATTCATCGAGCCAATCCAAAGAGGCAGGTGGTCAATCGCATTCTTCATTCTAACCTTTCAGCCCCTGAAATCGGACCCTGATCTGTTGAACAGCCACTTCACTTCACACCTCACAACGCTTTCTAGGATCAACACCAAACTCTCTGCACGCTTTAAAAAAACATATCAATTCACTATCTAAAAGATCCACAAGCTCACGCGACCTTGGTCCTGTCACCTATTGTGAAGTGCTGAAACAGGTTAAAAACATGACATCTGATTTTTCTACTGGTGCTGACCAAAACCCGCCAAGTATCTACGGATGGCTGCCGACTACATTGCCTCTTGGCTGAAACAAATTATTAATATTTTTATTTTAAATAATACCCCGCCGCTTGGAAAATGGCAAGTGTCTCCAATACCTAAATTTAAAAGTCGATTCCCAAATCAATGCTGACCAGTATAGGCTCATTGCTATTCTTCTTGCGCTTTCTAAGGTCTATGAGCGACTTGTCCTGAATCAAATATTGGAGTTTATCGAACAAAATCACATATTCACTGAAAGTATGACAGGATATCGCAAAGGACATTTTATTACTACTTTTCTGCAGCAAATAAGGGATGATATAATAAGAGCAATGAAAAAAGGTGAAGTCACTCTCATTACTTTTGCTGATTTCTCCAAAGCGTTTGACACCGTTGACTATTCAGAGGTTCTAAGGAAACTACATGCCATTGAATTTACCCATTATTCATACAATACTTGAATCATACTTTTCGAGGACCACAATCGATTTTCAAGGACTACCTACCAGGAATTTAAATCGCAGATTTGTACATAAATGCACATTCCTTCCCAGTCCAAGTTAACAGGACTTCAAAGCTTGAACTGTTTGTTCCACCAGTTTCCCTACATGTTTCAGGTTACTTGTCTTAAATTGATAGGTAATTTTGCATGAAACACAAAACACTTTATGTAAATCACCCATATCTTCTCTGGGCTATATGATTTATACTCTTGGACAACCAAAAAGCATTTTAAAAAACAGTTATCACGCCAGTTTATTCAAACTTGAAGAAATTTCAAAGACTATTCAAGGACTAGCACAGAAATTTAAGGACTTTTCAAGGAAAAATTGTTGGAGTTCAGTAGTATGGTACTTGGGTTTGCGAGACCCCCAAGTAATAGGTTTTCATAGTTTTCCTTAACTTAACTCAACTTAACTCAATCAGCAGCCCGTCAAAAGGTCCAAGATAAGCTCCAAAAAATGGATTTGCTGATTTGAGTTAAAGCCTATGAAAACCTATTACTTAGGGGTCTTTGAGCAAAAAAATTGGAAAAAATGTTCTCGTACCCCCAAGTACCATACTACTGAGTTCAAGCATTCCCCCTAAAATTTTAAAGACTTTGCAATCTCTTTCAAGCCTGCGCTAACCCTGAAAAATGTCATTGTTTAATTCATAACAGGCCCCTGCAGCAACATTTTGTCTGAAAACATTCCCTTCTCGATCTTGTAAACCTAACAAATGATTCTGGGCTTTCACGTACAGAGTACATCAACCTCAGCGGTTTTTTACGTGTATTTTCTTGGTTTCAGCTCGTTTACCCCTGAGAAAAAGTTTAAAATGCAACGAATAGCATTTCCTTTAATTCAAGTTTCACTCTCCATATTTAAGCTTACATCGGTGAATATTTTCCCAAACTTTCAAAGGCGCAACTGTTATGATACCTGCGAAAGGTTCAACATATTTACCGATAAGGAAAGTAGAAATGAAAGTTTCCCATCTAATGAAAGCTTCCAGTTCTCGAGGCAGGTTACTTTAGCTGCTTTGACATCACACTTGCAATGGATAAGGCTAAATCCCTTGGGTGACTAGTTTTTGTAAACTGATCGATCAAGGTTCCTCTGTAGGCTACAGCACTTTTACGTTTTGAATTAGAACACCGTGGTCAAATACAATTTATTATAATAGAAAGGTACTGACAAAGAGATGGCAAATAGCAATAATTAGGGTAAAAAAGATGTAAGGAACTGCATTTTAGAGGTTATACTTTAGTGCTTTACTTATGACGGTGTTATGATACAATAACAAAAGTTCAATTATATAATCAGAAACATGCCATGGTTACCTAAAACCTCACTCAGCTTTTGCCTTGAAAGGCAATGTCAACGCTATTTTTAACTTTATATGTGATAACATCGACTCCCTTCTAGTTAAATTTGGGTCGACGTCGTCTTAGACAATAATGATAAGAGCAAAAATCACTGCCAGATTCAGAAATGTAGTGATCAACTGAGCAGATGTAGCCTCAGACGACACGGAGGTTGGAGCAGACTGAGCAGTTTTGCCTATTGTCATATTCACTGCGACGCTTGTTAAATGAATTTTACCAGGCTGAGGGTCAGGAGCGTTACACTTGTCTTTGGAACAACAGCTGTGGTCGCATTTATTCACAGTCATTCTCAGAGTTTTGAGTGCCGTTTTATCGCAGTAACGCTCTCCTTCAATGTCGCACTTGGCCTGCATATAATAGAAAAACATTGGTAAAGAAAATTAAGTTCAACACACAGTGGAAACTTGTCTTAAAAAAAGATTGAAAGATGAGCTCTTTTCTTTTCTTTTAGTACTATGCTCCTGATGCTTTCTAAGAACGCTTAATATAATGTCATATCTGTTCTGCAGGTTATTTTTCAAAGAAGCTGTTCGGACTGACAAAAATTTAGATTTATCGACTGGGTTGATAAAATAAATGGCTTCGACAATGAGATAGAAACGCTGACATTGGGGAAAATACCAGTACTGTTAAACTTCCATCCTCGGAGACCCAGCCGCAGTTAGTCTGCATGGTCGGCTCTTCGTTGGACTATTTCTACCGACCAAGCTAACTACCAATGCATCTCCAAGGACGGGTACTTCCAGCTTTCTTGTGAATCAGAACCAGAAAAGCAGAATTTCAATAGGAGAAGAGAAACAGGCGAAAATAAATTGTTCAAATCATTACCTTGTTTTCCACTAAAAACTAAAACGGGTCTGTGACATAAGCCTCTGGCGGGTTAGCCTGTTCCAGGCTCTAAAGACCATTTTTCAATGATGCCGCTTTACTGACTCTTTCTATGTCTTAAAATGTCAAAATTGAAAGCGTTTTTTCTAATTTCTAATTTTTAACGGGTTAAGAAAGACTTACAGGGAATACAGACACATGCTCAAGTTACATTTTCCACCCTGAATCGTCCCTCGTCCGCTGGTTCGAGAACACTGTAGGTAGCAGACCTAAACTCGTACCAGATCTCACTCTGTCTTAAGATGAAAAGTGAGATCTCCCTTTCTCTTGGCCGTGGGAGATCTGGGTACGAGACTATAACAGACGGTCATAGGAGAAGAGCTTTGGGTTCGAGAATAATTCATGTGAAATATTAGAATACCTTAACTGTGCATGTCAGGTAGTACATGCCTGTCTTGTGACCGTCGTGGTCAATTTCAAAAGTAGTTTTGGCACATGCGTCATACTTTGGCGTATCCGTGTCATTATTACAATCGATGACATTTGTCGCCGAAGGACACAAGTTGCAGTCGTAGCAGCGGATTGAAGTCACTAAAGAGAAATTGAATACGTTATTTTAATAAGTGATAGTTTCGTGTTTAACAAAACCGCTGGATGAAAACTGATGACGCATTTTCAATTCAGGTTAAAAAGGTATTACAGTCTCAATCTGAGGTAAATATATCATATACATGATAAGAAGTTCTTATGAACCCTTTGGTGATATGGTTAAATTCTTTAACATGAGAAGTATGGCTATTTCTTGGTCTGAAATGAGACTAACCGCATAAAAAATGAGTCGGTTTTGTTTGCTTTTAGCCATGGAAGAAAATGGCATGCCTGGATTTTTTTTTTTCGAAACTTATATTGTTCTATTAGCTTTTATTGTAAGTTATTAGCTTGATGAACTGGGGCCTTTTGGTTGAATTAAGGTAAGTATATAGTTAATTGATTTTTTGCCACAAAATTCAGTCATAAATTCAGAATCAGAAAAGCCATTCCCTCGGTTTCCCCGCAAGGGTTTTTGGAGTTGGTAGCTCCTTTTAATTCACTGGAACGACCGTGACGTACTGTATTATTAAATTAAATCCGTCTAGTTTCTGTGTTCATCACTTATTTTCAGTTCACTTCACAAGGTTTCCACTGAGCTGACTCAGGTTCTATAGAACGCTCATGCACTCATTTTAGGCATTCTACTAATGAACAGCCATTGCATTCAGAAATTTGTACAGAGCTGTTATTTGCAATCTGTTTCCGCCTAAGAAATCTTTTGAAAAGAAACAACAGTTTACTTACCGTATGGCAGAGTTAATATTGCACAAATGCAAACAAAACAGCACTTCATCGTGAAATAAGAGAAACAGTTTTAACTTTAATCGTTAACCAGCGCTGTCAATGCATGCGGAAAATCACCACATAAATATACAATGTGCATCGGTTATATGCAAGCAGCTTTTCAGTCATACATATTCATGCAGCCACACTGACAATCAGTGATTTGTCGATGATATAGGTGAATATATCACCACTTTATTTTTGTTTTCTTTATTTATTTTTCCAACCGTGGCTCCATTTGCCGTACGGATCAGTTTACTGTTTCAAGTTTAAAATTTAATACTCAAGATTTTACTGATCCAGGTCTACTAAAGATCCGGCGGATCCTCACTGGTTTGTCGACAGTTGTGGTTTTGTCTTAACAAGTGTGGGTGAATATACCAAAACGAAAGTTTCGGACCGAATTAATGCATTTCTCGCAATCTTCTGAAGAAAATGTTTGGATGGGAAGTTTTGGCAAGAACTGAAGAAAAAAATTGTTGTTGCTGTTGTTTATATATATATATATATATATATATATATATATATATATATAGATTTTTTTTTTTTGTCCTGTGGTTGTTGGTGGCACTCAAGACCGTGACCACCGCCGGTCTCTCGGCATAAGTGATCATTTCAAGGAGTCAAGGTTAGTTGAACCGGCACAGGTTCTCCATTATATATCTCCAGAAATGAGAATTTCAATTCTGCCTAGGACATGGCACTATACGATCGTTTATTCGGAGTTCGTCCGACCATAAACTCATCTAAAAGGAATGATCATTGGGCAGCTCAGTTCCAGATGACTTTCAATTATTAATGACGTACATACTCGTATTTATTCGTTTATAAATAAGAAAAAAAACCTGTTTGTGGGCATTTTTATGTAGAATTTGCTAGTTTAAATTACCTCTGAGTAAAAGTGCTTTTATGCTCCACTGAATGTCTTGAGGAACTTAAAAGGAGAAAGACTTAATACTGCCACGAATTCAGTACAGAAGATCAATTTTACCGCACAAAAAGAAAAAGAAATTCGTGTAGTGGTAATCATATCTAATCTTGGGAGTATTTCTCATTTTTACAATTTTATTGTTTCTTGGTTGACTGAGATTTTTATATTATTAGTAACAAAAAGTTACTTGAAGCAGAGACTGGCTGTATTAAAGCAAACACAAAATCACGGACAGAAGCAAAAACGCTTATGTTAGAAGCTCCTTGATCATGCACAATCTTTCCTTTCTTTCTTTGTGGACAAGTGTCTATTATTAACACATTAAGTTCTTAGGTTATACGGAGGGCAGCGCCAAACTAATTTCATGCACCATTAGGTTACCTGAATAGGCAAAATATCTACATACCAATCTAAATACGACAATATCTTGCACAGGATGAATGAAATGAATAAAGTTGTAGCTCATTCCACCGCATGGTTTAAGCGCTAGAATACAACAAGACAGTCTTTTTCACGCCTACTAACAAGCTTTTTGCGGTAGTTGTCCGTGCAGGGTTGTGAGTTGCTCTCACATTCCTTGTTATATCCTCCAAGGACATTACTTTGATTAATAAAAAAATTTAATCAAAATTAGTCTTTCTAAGTTTAGCTCCCAAAATTTTGTACATCATGTGGTTTTCCGCTCTCCCGTATCTGCCCTTTTCCGAATTTCCCCCTAACTCAGGCATGCCATCTTTATTTTTTGATATCTTTCATCGTCTTGTCCGTAACTACGAGATCTAGGCGTTCCCCTCCGATCACTCTCCTAGTGCACTACAGTTGCTATGGAAAAATCAGACGTTCCTTCATGTTACTTGTTTATTACCATAGGCCCTTACAAAATGAAAGAGCCTTTCAGTTTCAGAATGAAACCTTTTTCTGTCTTGGCTATGAGAAACTCATTTAAAACTTATTTTAGAGCGTCATTAGGCCAGTAGAAGTATCGCCTTTGTGCAGCTTTGGACACTCGGATAGAATACTGTGAATATAGATGTTCCACTGATTCGGGGAGCTTGTGACATTTTTTACGCAGGTCTTCTCCATAACATAATGTTCACAACACTCGTTACAGTCGCAAAACACGTCAGGTTCACAACACTCGTCAGGGTTACACACTCGAGTCCATCATTGTTCTGTGAGTTGCTGATATACATATTTCGTTCAGTGCGCAAAACGTGTAGGTTGGCGCCGATATCCATTTGCTGCTCCAATTCTGACTAAAAAAAAACCGTTTAATCTTCGAGTCTGTGGAACACAATTTTGACGCTGTTAGGTCTTAGGCAATGTGACTTCGCCCTTCTGTTGTTTCAAATGAAAGTCAGTGTCCATGGCGCATTTAAAACCATCGTTATTCTATCTTTATCCTCCTTAGCTGGTTGGAATTGCTCTAACGGCCTGCAAAATTTTGGATCATTGGATGTGGTGATTCTCAAAGCCCTTAATCCGGCGGCCACCGACTGGATGGGATGCCACGGTAGAGTTGAGTTGTTAATGTGTTGGGGATATTTCGCCGCTCCCCTCTTAGGCAAGGGACATTTTATTTTCAGACCAGCTTCATTCTGATCTTCGTGAGAGAAGTAAAGCACTAGCATGAAAAACGTGAGCATGGGCAAGGTAAATGTGATGAATATTGGCGTTAACTTTGTTCTGGTCGCGTGAGACTACTTCTTTTTCTGCTTTCTTTACAAAGACTTTGTTTTCTTGCTGCTCAGCTTGTCCCACACCAAAGAACTTAAACTTTCTCTCTTCCTTTTTCCTTTCTTTCTTTATATTGTTCAAATATTGTCGCTGAATAACTTCACACAACGTTTGTAATGGTCACTTCTTCTAAAGTATAAACGGAAAAGCTAAAAGCCATACAAAGAAAGACTTTAGGCTTAATGAAAAGCGCTGTATAAATCACAGTAAGTTAACGAAATAACGCCGCCTGATGCCGGAGCCTTGAATTATAATAGCCCACAATTCTAACATAACTCCGAAGTTTTCCGGTCATTTTTCTATATTTGGTTTTGTTTTCTTTGTGCTCAAGTCTCTTCTGGGAATTGTGAGACAATGGAATCTTGAAAAATTTGCAATTTTGACCCTAAAACCTCGGAGTCATTTTAGAATTATAATAGTGAGTTTACGCAACAGGACAGCGTGAAGTAGAGGACGGCAAAACACTTGTGTGTGACATACGTGGCAGGGCTAGGCAGGGCTATTACTTGCGTGTTTTGTCGTGATCGTCACTTAACACCAATGTTTTCTGGTCCTTTACAAAAAGATCTGTTTAAAGGAAGGTGAAATTTGGCGAAAAGTTGTTTCAAACAAAATTATTGTCACGTTTGTCACACAAGGTTTGCCGTCTTCTTTCCTCTCCCGTCTTGTTGCGTTTTTTTTTTGAACGAGTGGGACGTTGTCGTTTTTGTTGTTGCGAAACACGTTCGCGTCGCACCGATCAAGAGCAATGACGGGAGGCTGTATTCACAGACTGCTGATAGTGAAGAAAATATGTTTGATCAGCTAACGAGGTCTAACGGCAAATTAAGTCGTTTGAATTTGTTTTTCATTTCTTCTTTTTTCTTTCTTTGAATTTTTCTCTTGACCGTGGTACACTGGGCGTCAGTTAAAGCTAATCACGTGACGAACAAAGGCAAAAACTGTTTTTTGTTTCCAGTTTCCACGTGCCATCGTACAAGTGACAAGTCTAATGATGGAGAAGTCTCTGGCAATTTGTTTTGTTGTGGTCCTTGTCAACTTTTCTGCCTTTGTCAGAGGCAAGTGTCCTTGTGAGGATAAGGCTCTTTGCGAGCCGATCGCAAGACCCCAGGGAAAAGAATTTCTGATGTTTTCAACGAAACCAAACGATTGGAAAAAGTACGATTGGACCAAGGTCACCACAATCGCTCTTTTCAGACCGTGGGATGACGAGTTAATGTGCGAAGCTCATAAAAGAGTGAGTGCCCTAGTGAACTCTTACCTAGTTGCTTTTTTTGCACCAGTGAGGAAACTTTTGCCCTTAAAATCGCGAAAAGAAATAGCATCTTTTCGAGCGTTAAACTTTGGTGCCAAAATCCTCTGACTTCATTTGCGTGGAATTCGTGCCAACCAAAACATTGTTGTCTTAAAGCTTAACAGAATTTTAGGCCCTACGAAAGTTTAGCAGTTTTCGCTTATTTTTTCAGTTTTTAAACTTTGTTCATTATAATTCAGTTATTTCTTCTCATGAGTAAGTATTAGTTTACTTAGCGATTTGCCGCGGTTTGGAATCATTTCAGACGTTGTGACCGATAGGTTTGTTCAATGTAGGTTTTCAATATTCTATTTGTTCTGGTTAGATGAACCGACTAATTATGGATTAACAAATTATTCACCTCTTTGAATCGTTTGAAAAAAAATCTTCCCATTAATTGTCGTTAAGAGTATAATAACATTGTAGCTATGTAGTTTGGCCCATATCATGTTTGGCTGTAAGATGAGAAGAGCTGAGAAGACGTTTTCGCTTTATAAAACCCCGTAACGACGGGGCAGGTGACTGCAGGGAAAGGTTTTCAAACTCAAACTCCAAACCGTACATTAATAGTTATTGGTCTAGACATAATTTTGAAAGATATTTTAAAATGACCAACTCCCCTGAAATAAGCACACCCATGGCTTAAACCTCCTTAATTGAACACTTCCATGATAGAGGTGCTAAAGTTTCAGTTATTCAATTATGTGAGCCTTCAGTCCTAAATGTTAACAGTCAAACCAGTGCAGATCTGTGACAGATGTGACGGGATCTCACTGGTAAGTGTTACAGCTGTCACTATAGTTGTAGCACAGAGATGGCATTGATCTGTCACATTGTCATGTACATGTATAGACTTGAAATGCTAATCCAAAAGTAGAATTTGTGATATCTAGTTCCTATAAGTGATATTGATATAAACATTAACTTTCTTCGCTGGTATACATAGGAAAATCTTCATTGCATAGATACTCTGGAAAAATGTTCCAGATATGACAAGAAATGGCTGAAAAATTAATACATAGTTATCTTGCAGTCGTTTTCATGTGTGTTTCTTTTTTATTTTTTTGAAATTGGTTCTTGTTGTTTTTAATTTACATAAAAATGAAAGAACATCATTTCCTTTGTACACCCCATTGTTTGATTGAAAATATTTGAATAATTGAATATATTTTAGAAGTATAATAAGTTTTAGATATCGTAATTTATTTTATACACTGTATTAATATTGTTTGAGTATACAGTGAAACCTCTATTTATAAGCAGACCCCCAATTAAGCAGACACCCTCTCTTAAGTGGACTTTAAGCTGGGTCCCAAAATTAACGTCTTCTATTTTCCCTTTATAACGAACCCCTATTCAGCGCCCACCTCTATTAACTGGACACAGACACCAAGCAGACACCAGACTGAACTGACAGTCGGCAGTATTGGATTACATCCTTGAAATATGTACTGTAGTCTATTAATAGCGATAAATCATTACATTTAGCAATAGCTTTCAATAAACTGTAGATTAGACTGATATCCGGCCATATAATTGTCATTCGTGATCAAAGTTCACCTAAAAGTCCAGCACAAAGTACAGCACAGCTTCCTTAACAACATGGAACTTTATCACTGTACAGAGTAACCATTGATTGTTAAAGGTTAACAAACATTGCACAATTTTTACCAGCCTCTATAAGCACACACCCTCTATTAAGTGGAAAGTCCCAAAGGTGTCTGCTTAATAGAGGTATCACTGTATTTAAGTTTTTAATTTACACAGCTTCAATGGAAATCAGTGCTCAACTTTTTGAGTTCTTTGTTAAAATAAGTTTCTATTCTATTCTATTCTATTCTATACAGGGCTCGAAATAACGGCCGGTCAACGGACAATGTCCGGACTGATTGTGGATTTGACCGGTCAAACTTTCGTCTTGCCGGTCATGTTGACCGGTCAAAATTCAATCGTATTGAAAATGAAATAAATTTAAGGCTCCTGCTGTTCAGTTGTTTCAGTTGTTATTTTAATATCGAGTCGCTGTGTATTGCGGAACTTTGATATGTTTTCCTGGTGACATGCAACTAGAGCCGTTGTTCACAATTCGCGCATCGAAACAGACATCGGGATTCGCCCACTTCCGGTCATAAAATTACCAAATATTTCCACTTTTATTAGTAATTTTCAAGTTGTACATTTGTCCCTGCATATAAATTAATTCCTTTAAAAGCGGAATAAATATTATCAAAAGCAGTGTACTCCAAAGGGACTATAATTCATTGCAACGTTACAATAATTATTTCACTCTTCGCAAGTTTATCGATGTGTTAATCGGCCGCGTGCGTAATGTAAACATGAAAGGTTGTACTACGTGCTGTGTACAGCGAAACATTGTCCTCTGAGATCGCGTAAACCTAAACTTTACGGAGATATGAAAAGCAGTTACTCTAAGATAACGGCAGCTATGGAAAAATTATTATATTTGAGTAGACATATCTGATAAACGGGCTACAAATTCAACAGGAATTAAACGCCCGAACTGAATAAATTGTCTGTTGAACATTTTAAAGGTTCTGCTCAACTTACACAATTTTCCCTTGCTGAACATAAACTGTACCGAGCCGTATCTTGGTTCGCTATATCGAAGCGACATCATCGTTCAAATTTAAACTGTAAGATCCCTGAAAGAAGTCTCCTCAATGGAGCAGTATATAAAAGGTTTCAAAGGTTTCACGCCGGTGAAGATGTGCGGCCTGTCACCTCTTGCAAGTTTTTACTCTGGTTTATGGGCCCCTAAAAGAGTAATTCATCATATACATTTGACCGGCCAGAAACGATACGTGACCGAGCAAAAATGAATTTGGCCGGTCATCGTGACCGAGCAAAAATGAATTTGGCCGGTCATCGTGACCGGAGACTATCCGAAAATTATTTCGAGCCCTGCTATAAGAAGACTTTATTTAAAATTCATACCAGTATACATGTAGGAAGCAAGTTACTTAGCAGTAACCTCTTCTTGACACACCCTAACCCTTAAATTGTCCGAACTGTGTTGTGTTTTTTTTTGGCAGGGGGTACGGGTTGTATTGGCAGCAAACTTTCCTACAGAAAAGCTTGGCAACAAAGAGTTGCGAACAAAATGGATTAAAAACCTGACCAAAGAAACCTTAGCAAGGCATGCAGACGGAGTGAATATCGACATTGAGTCACCAATACCCAAGAGATCAAGGGAGGTTACATTGTTAACTAAGCTGGTGAATGAGACAAGAACAGCATTTCGTCAAGTTATGAAACATTCACAGGTATCTTTCAAAAATAGTCTAGAGATCATTTAAGCTGGGAATTGTTATAAAGGAGTAAGAATATCCAAGTGGGTTTTGAAGCCTTCAGAATTCCCATACAACTGATTGTTGTATACCAACCAGGATAACAGATGTTCCAGTACAAAGTTTTCCTTTGTGCAAGTAACTTTTTTCTCAATATTCCTTTAATGGCAGCCCTGGGTGGATCCAGAAAATCCAGAAAGGGGCAGCTAGGACACCTACAAACTATATAGATCCTATTTATTTTGCTGAGAATAATTCTTTAAAACTAATGTAGAATTTCACAGAAAAAGGTGTGGCCACAGTCCACTTAGCCAAACCCTAAATCTGCCCATGTATTGTATATTGCAACCAATTGAATGCAACCTAAGAATAAGTATTATTGATGTGTTTTGGTACCTACTGCTCTTCCATTGCTGTTATGACAGACACTGTCAGGTAGACATTTCTCACTGTTCACTCAGTACCAGTCCCAAGTCTTTGAGGACTTCTCTTTCTGTTATCAGAAATGGTGTAATATTAATGAATTGTAGCCTGAAGAACAGCAGACATTTTACAACACCACGGTCGATTTTCCTTCAAAATGACTTTTGAGTAACGATTGCAGAAATTCCATAGTGAACTTACGCAACAGAATGAGAGATCAAAAAAAACAGCAAACCTTGTGTGACAAGCCTGACAATAATTTTGTTTGAAGAAATTTTGCCTCAAACTTCATCTTTCTTTAAACAGATCTTTTGTAAAAGAGCAGAATACATTAATGTTAAGTGAAGATCACGACAAAACACGCAAGTAATAGCCCTGTCAACACAAGCATTTTGCTGTCCTCTTCTTTCTGCCGTCCTGTTGCATAAATTCACTTATGATGACATTTCTCTACCCAGATCTGGGTAATGCTTCTTATTGGCTGAAAATTTCCTTCATTTAAAATTATCAGAAGCACTTCCCAGATCTGGGTAGTGGCACATTACCAGTACGGAATTTATTTACTTGTTACTCAGATGCTGTTTTACAGGGAAACCAGTGGTGCTGTCATGAAATGTCAGCTTTTTTCTCAGGTTACAAAGAATCGCTGCTCATTGCCAAGGTAAAAATAGAACTGTTATCCTTTTGCCAATTTTCAGGTATCTTTTGATGTTGCATGGTCGCCAGATTGTATTGATGGACGGTGTTATGATGCAGAGGCTCTTTCAAAAGTTGTGGACTTTCTGGTCATAATGGCATATGATGAACAGAGTCAGATCAAAGGAGACTGCATAGCAAAGGCAAATTCACCTCTAAATCAAACAACACATGGTACATCCTTTTTATAAATTTAATATAATTTTTATTTCTAAATTATTATTTTTTTATTACTATTACTGCGCTTTTCACAAACATGAGAATTCTGAAGTTCAAAAGCCAACTGACGATTGCGTTTTTCGCTGCCGTCAATCATCTTAATAGACCTCTTAGGAAACAAAACTTTACTTTAACGGGTTCAAAAGGTCAAGGTTTGTGATTTGTGATTGGTGGATTTCGATCCATTTTGTGTGTTTCTGTGTTTCAAGGTTCGTTGCTTGTGATCGTAATTATGATTGACGGCAGCGAAAAACGCAATTGTGAAGGCGGCTTTTGAACTTTAGAGTTCGATGTTTGTGAAAAGTGCAGTAAGGCTGTACTCTGAAAATTATTGAAGGAAGCCCAGTACTTTGAAGCTACAATGTGTTAGTGTGAAATTCTTGCTGCCAAGGATATGATATTTGTGAAAAGAAAATAAGATTTCTGAGTTGTCCAAAAGCAAAAGTAAGGCGCCTGCATGGGGCCTGTGACTGGGTACCGGTACTTCTAGAGCACAGACCTGATTATTATTTTCAAAAATTATTCATCTTCTCTTATTTTTAAGCTGACAAGTGAGTTACCTTAAAAAATTTGGTCTGACATGAAATCTCAGAAATTAAGTTGCGAAATGAAGATGCTAGTTAATTACAGGCCTGTTTCATCCTGCTGGATAAGACTATAATTTCATTCTTTTTCATCTTTCTTTAGCTGTGGGAGAATACCTAGCATTAGGAATCAAACCAGAAAAGCTTGTCCTTGGATTGCCTTGGTATGGTTATGACTACCCCTGCATTGAACTCACAGATGATCAAATTTGCAGCATCAAACATGTTCCATTCCGGGGCGTGAATTGTAGTGATGCTGCTGGGAGACAGATAGAGTATGCAGAAATAGAGGATTTAGTGGTTAGCAGGGCAACAGTTGGTCCTCAGTGGGATGAAGATACTGCCTCATACTTTTTCAACTATGAAGACAGTGTTGGTGGAAAGCACCAAGTGTGGTATGACAACCCGGACAGCCTCAAAGCCAAGTACAAGTTTGCAGCTGAAAATGGTTTGAATGGTGTGGCCATCTGGAATGCTGATCTGTTGGATTACAGTGACATCCCTAGAGCTAGAGAGGAGACCAAGAACATGTGGGATGCTTTACAGCATTAGTTTGCTTGGCATGAATGTACTGTCTAATGAAACACCATCATTTTCATCTATGATCTCATCACCTACAAATGCCACTAAATATGTTAGTAATAATTTTATTAATCATCAAACAATGGGTATCAAGTGAAGAACAGCTCCTGCAAAATATCTGTCAGATGACAGACGGATGCTCAACACATAAAATCTTTTGGCCAATTACATATAACTGTCACCTGTAAGGTATGGTCTTATCTCGAGCCAGCTGACAACCATGCAGTGATAATAACATGCAAAAGGATCCAAGATTGTAGTATGATTTAATCCGACGAATTGTGGTGAGCCATTTTCCTGTGCTGGTGTGGCATTACTTGTCAGACAAGTTTGGCTAACCATATTACTTTTTTTCAAATAACTGAGAGTGGCTGACTGCAAGTAACTTTTTGCAACCTATTAGGTTAACTGTTGGCGATCAGTTTTGTGACAGATGTTTTGGGGAGCTGTTATTTTCTTCACCATTATACTAATCAGTACGTTTGCCTTCAAAACTTGGACGTTTCACAGGACATTATGTCATGTTTGGCACTGAAAGGATGTTTTTGTTACAAAGCTAGCTGACAGTCATGATTTTGTTGTGTGTGTGATTGATCAGGTCAAACTCAAGCAAAAATATAATAGTTTAATTGTGTTTAAAAATATAACATGTCGTTTAGAATGACTTTCCTTTTGCTGCTTCAACATTTCTAATAATTTTTTACTAGCGTCAAACAGCCCATGAACTTTCCTCGTTAATTTTTCTGATTGGAATCTAAATCTTTTATTTCTTCCTCTTGATGGCTTAAAACATAGTCAGTCTTTTTTTGCAGTCTCTTGAGGTTTGCAAGGGAATCATGACATGAGTTTTTAGAGCTAGTTTGTACTAAATCACTATAAAAATGACAGAAAGGTCTTGTGGCCTACAATGTTAAAAAAGTGCTTTGCAGACCAATAATGCAATTAAAATGCAAGGAAAAGGCTCAAAGCAACTTTACTATATTTGCAGTGTGCCACCTTCTGCTACCAAAGAATTTTACGTGTGAAAATTAAACTACGAAGTCTAATAGTTACATTATTTTTGACATCCAACAAATTTATAAAATACAAATATTTTTAGATGTGTATATCAGATATCTGTAAGAACATCACTCCCATATAGTACTTAGTCTATTCAATACAGATCTTGCAGTATATTGAATAAATTTAATATATTTTTCTCATATTTTTACAGTGAAGTGGTTGTGAATCACAGCTGTGCGTAATAAAGAGGATTCATTTCCAAACAACGTTGTTTCCTTGTTATGACACTTAAGACTCTCTGTCTCCTCTCAGCTAGCTTTTACTGCAAAACCCTGTGAAGAAGATTAAAAGCTCTTCAAGGGTTAATCTACCTCGCAGCCGTTTTTGTGTGTATGGTTTCCATAGAAACCATAACACTATGCAGTTATGTCATGTCCATAATGTCTGTTATGTCTTTAAGGAAGAAAAGTGATAATTTTGAAGGTCAGACACAAAGTACTGTATGATTCAGTTCGCAAACAGGGGAGTTTATTAATACTCTCTGGTTGTTGCTTGTCATTTTATCAATTTATTTTTTTCTAGTCAAAAGAAATTTTGCAAAAAAAGGGGTAATGGTGGTCATTGGTGCCCAAGGGGTGGACTCCACATATGAAAGGGGTGAGGATGCTCGTCGGAAATTTTGAATTAAACCCCTAAAGGAGACTGATCTGGGTGTGGCCCATGCTTTTTTTGACCCCTAAAAGAGACCAAAAAAATATACATATCAAATTTACCTGTGTATATTTTTATATTTTTGCGCGTGCAACCCTAAACGAGACCTTCATGGCTAAAAATGAAGGCGTTTTGCCCAAAACACCCTAAGCAAGACCAAAATCCGAAATTTTCACTCCTTAGGTGAGACGACAAGCATCCCCACCCCTTTCATATGTGGAGTCCCCCCCCCAACCCGTGCATCGGTGGAGTCTAAGCATGACCTGTTGCATTGAAAAAAATATTTATCTTCACAGTTGGTGCAAGAAGTAATGCTTTATTTTCTCTTTGATGCTAGTCATCGTCATGCCATGACATGAAGGTGAAGCATAAACTTAATGCATCAGATGAATAAGCGTCACCTTGTGTGCCGAAAATTTTTTCTTCTTTGCAGGAAATCATGCTATATTTTCCTCGACAAAATAGCTTACATTTCATGCTCATGTGACATGGTAAGTCGATAAAATGGCAAGTGCACAACACACATCAAAAACTATAACACGTCCTTTCTCTCTAGAAAGCTATTCTTGTTTTTTTTAATTTGGTCAGACTCAATAGTTACTAATATTAAAACTGCATGCCTGATCCTGATGTCTGACTGTAGGTCTACTGGTTTTTGCCTAGACCCTATAGGGCCTAGGCCTCACTATTCAACATGGCCATTTCAGTCACACTTTGACCATTTTCTACTGGCCCTGTCACCGACTCAGAGATACATTAACTGAGTAGGCCATGCCATCTTTCTTTTGTCATTTTGGAATGGATTTGAAACAGGGTGATGGCACCTCCACTCAGTTTCAAAATACAGTAGATTCTGGCACATTGGAAACTGGAGCTGTAAGTTTAATTGCCATCAACTAGTGTATTAATAACGTTCTCCAGGAGTGAGTTTCAGGCTTCACTTTTCTCGTTTTTCACTCAACATTCAACTTAAACGACAACTCCTGTTTTTGATACACCTGAAGCGATCTTAATGTGATTTTGATTTTGAAAAGGGAAACTGTCAGCCTGATTCTCAGACGTCCGAGGTCGTTCGCAGTCCCTTTCGCTTCCCTCCCTCTAGGGAAGCAAAAGGGACCGCGAACGACCTCGGACATCTGAGAATCAAGCTAGGAAACTGTCCTCTCTCTGATACACATCCATCAAGAGCTACTTGATTTAACTGCTTGAAATTGACAAGTTATAAATGGTTCCAGCCGGTGCCTCCACCTGTAAGCTAAGGTTTAGAATAATTCCATATCCTCCCCACACCCCAGGTCCCACAAAAGAAAAAAATATGACAAAACGAAGAAGGAAAACCCAAGTACAACAGGGAAAAGATCAACAACAACAAAAGCAAGATTATAAAGCTTTGATCTTTTTAATTTTGGTTGACAAAAATGTGTTATTCCAATACCTAACTTACAAAAGATACATCAGTCAGTGGTAGTAAAAAACCCTGTGTAAAAAAAAATGGCAAAGAGGATTTACAGACAACAGGATAAATAGCTTCAGCCCGGGTGGGTGGAAGGATTCCGCATATGAAAGGGGTGGGAATGCTCGTCGGAAATTTTGAATTAAACCTCTAAAAGAGACCTATCTGGGCGTAGCCCAAGCTTTTTTTGACCCCTAAAAGAGACCATGTTAACACACAGACAATACACATATTTTTATATTTAGTCACGTGCAACCCTAAACGAGACCTTCACAGCTAAATATGATGGCATTTTACCCAGAACACCCTAAACGAGACCAAAATCCGAAATTTACACCCCTAAGCGAGGCGACAAGCATCCCCACCCGTTTCATATGCAGAGTCCCCCCCCCCCCTCCCCGGACTTCCGCTTGTTGCAAGTTAAGCAAATAGATTATCAACATTATTTTGACAAGTTACAATATTTTTCTGTCCAAGAAAAATATTGGCAAACAGTTCTAAGCTACGGAAAATGTGGGTTGCAACTATACCTCCCTGTAACACAATAGTAGCTTGGTTGCAATAAATACTATATAAATATTATTATTCTGTTTTTAGTTACCCATGACATAAATAATTTTATTTATTATATAGTATCTGAGTGCATAAATAAAGGTAACCATAAAATTGAAAGATTTATCCCTAAAATTCTATTTACAGTAGAAATAATACTAACATTTTCATTACAATTTTGACCATAATTAAGAAAATCATTTTTTTTGCAAATTATTATCTTTGTCATCTTTTTTTGATAGGAAAACTGTGAATATCAGTTTTAATACATGTAGTACTTCATTATTCTGAGCGAAATTTGACCTTTTAAAATAGTCTTGAATTCTAACTTTTCAAAGAAGATATTTTCACTATGTTTTAAATACCTGATCAGTTTTCTCCTTCGTACTAATTTGCAAAAACATCTGGAAAATGTGAATGTTGCTCTTAGCTAAAGGTTTAAAACTGTTTGTTGCATTTTAAAGGAAATCAACCTCAACATTAATATGAAAGCTTACAGTTATTTGTTCTATGGTGCTCACTATTTAAGCTCTTATGATAATAAAAATCAATTTAAGTTTGTTATTTTCTCAGGATTAAAATTGCACATGTATTACTGCTGCATATTCTCTCATTTGCCATTACTCACACATTGCTCTCTTTCAAGTTAACTAGTCCCTCTGTGATTTCGGCTAAAGATTTGTCACCACTCATACTAGGGTCTTCGGCAAGTGTCTTGGCAAGACATTTAGTAACAGCTTCCATTTGCTTCATTACAAGATGCATAGTGCGTTCAGTGGTGTCCAACCTCTTCTGCAGCTCTGTTAGATGTTTCTTAGCTGTCAAATAAGAAAGGCCAAAAATGATAAAGCATAGCTCAACATGTATGCACAAGAAATATATAACAAATAACTTTTTATCCTTTGGAGTTATATTAGGCCATCCTTTTTCTTTCCATTTAGCATATTGTCTGACTGACCCAAATTTTTGGCATTTTCAATATTTTTTTTATAAAAACAAAAAGTAAAGACGTAGTTAAACCATTTTTCACTTCAAATACTTCTTTAATCTGAAAAACGAGCATAGTAACAGCATAGAGAAAAACAAGAACAAAAACAGGAACATTTTTTTACAGTATATTGTGCATTTTGTTAATCCAAATATGTAGACATTAAGTTTTAACATCATCCTTTTCCGCCATATTGAATTTGGATTCATGTCTTGTTGTTTCCAGGCTCCACAGCAATATGATGCTGTGGTACCAGGCCTACTGTTCTGAGACTTCTTGTGTTTTTTTTTTAGTTTTTTTTTATCTGACCTACCAATTGCAACCCAATATCAGGAAATGCATATTATTTCGAAAAAAAAAGGGGATGCCCTTGTGTACAAACAAATAGACAACTACTACAGTACAGTGACACAACACCAAATAAAACTATAATAAGACAATATTTATTTATAAATAACTTTGGATACTACAAACTGAGAAATTTTTTACGTTCACTGAAGATTTTTTGGAGGGGGCGCAGGGAATGGCATTGGAATTAGAACCAAAAACCTTCCTTGGGGAGATGTATCATTACTTCCTACAAGGACACAATCTTGATATACAGTCATTAGAAAGATTAAACAATCTCTGTTTTAATTGTTGTTGTTGTCATGTTGTGCTCATGATCCCAGTTTATCACCTGAATCATGCATGAAGCTACATGTAGGAACACAGGGCCAATTTTCCAAAAGGAAGCTACAGGTATATAACATAGCCCTGCCTTCACACAAGAATTAACAGGCTTATAAGCAACACAAGTGGTTGCAATATTAATGTCTACACTAAGGAACTTCTTTATACCACTCATTACCCTAAGTCTCATCCATAACCCTCAATATGTACCTACCTGGCTCAACTCCAGATGCTTTACTCTGGAGAGCGCGCAATTGTTTCAGTCGATACCCAACTCCTTCACAGACAGTAAGCAGGTCTTCCAGTTGGGTCTGAGTATTAACTGGCTTTTTTATTGCATCACATGCCATTACATAAGGGCAATCAGGGTAGTATTCCTTGTGGCCCTCCATTGGGTCATCGCCTGGTTTCCACATTTTAAGGGTTCCCTTGCATTGAAAGCATTTTACCACATCATCTATTCCGGTAAACACAAAGCCTGCTCTTGCCAGTTCAAACACATTTACAGAGCTTGTTGAAGGCCAATACATGAAAGTGCGCACTCGATTTCCTGGTATTGATATATCTGACAGGTTGGTGGGTGGGGCTGGAAGATCACCTTTTTCAGTATTTTCAACATGGTTTGTGGTATGCACATGTTTTTCTGAAAGGGGAATGTGGAATTTACTTTAATGGAGCTATTCAAGAAAGAAATCATTGTCCTGGTGTAAGGTTTTATCATCATAGACTAAGATGAATGACAGGAAAATAATTAGAAAGAAGTGTTGTCAAAACAGTGCAAAAAAAATTAAGCTTTGAATAGCACCTGACAACTTTCACTTCTATAGAAGAAAAAGGTTGTTGTAACGGAAAACGTGCAACCATTCATGAGTCTAACTTGTGCAACATCTCTAGTAGGTTAAATTAGTGTGGAATTAATGTGAAGCAACATTATTCCTAAGTGCGATTAGTGAAAAGCCATACATTCCCCCTATTACACAAATTTAAGTACTGTGAATTAGAACAAAGTAATAATGCATATTAAAGCCAACATTAACAGTTTTTCAACTACAGAAATGGAACTGTTTCAACACTTTAAATGAAAAATGAAGCACATTAATTAGTGGAAAATGAATTAAAACATTTTAATCCAGAAATGCATACCACAAACCATCAAGAAATTCTGAATTGCAACAGTTGAAGGGGGAAGGGTTTTCTTTCACACCAAAAGCCAAAAATTATTATTTACATGTAGGCCCTGAGTTAAGAGGAAGACTTTGGCTACACTGGAACACATGTAATTTGGATCAGAGTTTCAGAAGATTTTTTATGAAAATGTCAAAATAAACCTTTTGGCCAACCCGAAGGATTCCTTAATCTAACGGGACGTATTTTCACTGTACAGGTTGTTCTTAAAACTTTAAAATTTCATACATTTCTTTTAATTCCTTTATAACATTCAGGGCCACATAAATGTAAACCTTTAACTTAGACATAGATTGATCTATCTCTTAGTGATGCTCTTCATTTAGAGGTTGTCACTCATGATCAGAACCCAACTGGAAAGACCTGCCAACTGCAAAGCCAAGGGTGATCAATAATACATTATGTTAGATATTTCAAAGTACTATTTATATCTGTATAATTATAGGGAGAATGTAGGCTGTGCAAATTCAAACAGATTGACTTGCAATGATTCCATAATATTCAATATATCAAATAATTCTGTACAGCTTCATTATCTTACTAGCAAGGCAATAAGGGGTATATCGATGCTGCTTCTTCTAATAATACGAATTTTGCAACTGTTGCTTAAGACATCACTTAATGCCCAAACTATACATGACAAGAACTAATGTCACGTCAATCGCAAATAGAATTAAAATATAAATACATGTATCAGGACATCACTGAAAAAACACCCCCCAAAACTGGCTTCATCTATTTCAATGTAACAACAAAGAAAATGTATAACAATGGTAGCAGCTGATCATACTAACTATAACATACCTTCTTCCTCTGTCATGAAGGTCTGGCCCTTTTTCTTTTGTTCTTCGGCCAATTTCTTTAGTCTACGGCGTCTCTGTTGTAAAAGTGTATACAGCGCTTTAATTTACAATTCCTCTATGACTTTCTTGATATGGACTTTACACGTATGTATCCCTCTAAATCATGTACCTCTGAGATATATATAATATATTATTGGTCAGGGATAAAAAAAAATGAAATATCACTTATTTTCTTTTTGTTAATTTTGGTCAGCTTTCAATAGAGTACCTTTTTAACTTTAGACTGTTCATGTCTTTTCTCTTGTACTATAAAAAAATTATGATATAGTCACTCATTATATGCTGCCAGTATTTGCTCATCACACAGTACAGAGTAATGTCAGAGCCAATGATTCAAACAATCAAAAACTAAACTGAGCGAGGAATAGCCTACTGTGCACGGCAATGTTTTTACTTGTGAAAGCACCATGTTGAAACTCTAAAAGTCAGAGAGGAGGAGCGGCTACGACAATACAAACATAAAGAAGCAGCTTTCGTCTGCCCAAAATATGCCTGCACTGCAGGCTAAGTCAGGAGTAAAATCAAAACACACTTTTCCACAAGTGTTTCCCTATGCATATGCCACATCCCAGCTCTTATGCAACTTGAGCTGACCAAGAATGTGGCTACTAGGTAGTGCGATACTGTTTAGCCCCTTATCTTAGATGCTGATGAAACAGGGCTGCTATTCTGCCTGTGATATAGGAAGCTTTAAAGCTTGAAAACAGAGCTGGCTAAGAACCTCTGTTCATGAGGAAGCCAAATTCTCAACTCTGCAGCCTCTGACTAAAATTATACTTGATCTTTATTATCCTCTTCCATCTTGACAGTCTTACAAATGTGTTGATCTGGAGTGTTACCTTCTTCATATATCACATACAACTTATTGCAAAAACATTGTCGTAGAAAAATAAAAAAAGAATAAAGGCACATTCCCAAGGTTCTCACATTCTCATTTGCAGCCATTGCATTTCCTTGCTGGAATTTTTTTAAATTGTTTTTCGGCTTTAAAACAATAGCAAATTCCAACAGGCCGTTACGACGTCCATGTGTGGATGCTGTGAATGAATTCATTAGGCTTATTAGCCTAATTAATTCCTATTTGGCTTTTTCCTTTTTTCATTTTTCTAAGTATTGCAATTAGGTGTATAATACTTTAAAACGTTGTACCAAGTGAGCACTCTGTATACATTTATATGCTCCTATGCAAAACGTTTTGATGTCAGAATACAAACAAGAGTCAGTAGAAGCTGGGGGATACAAACATCCAGCATCCTACCTATAACTCATGAATTTAATTACCCTTCTGGGGTATAAATAATTTAATTACCCATCACTACAAAAAAAGGCATACAGTTTCACAACACTCCATATTTTTTGCACAAGTTAAGACTTGGTCATTGGAAAGAACTCAGGAAGGATTATGAACAGACTTTGTACAACTTGGGAAAACATTAATGTCTAGGAGTAATAAGCCAGTTGGTCAATAAAATTTAGAGTAAGGAACTTAACTTTGTGCTTGCCGGAAGTAAAATTATTCCAAAATCATGCTTAGCAGCACAATCAGGTACCTGTTGAAAACTGCAAACACTAGGTACCAAGGTGTGGTTAAAGCTGCTGGCTGGTTTTCAATTATTCACAAACCAGTTTTTATCATTTGCAATTTACCAAATCAAACTATAGGACCTCAAATAATTCAAAACACATTTAATTCAAATGTCATTTTTCATGACATCTATTTAAGTTCTAACTTATCTTAAAATTGATAAACGAGACGTTATTTTAAAAAGGATTTTTTTTACAGTTAATTTTTTTTTTGCACATTACCCCACCCCAGATCTAACATGATCTAATTAGCATCAGTCTGTTAGCAAAACTTTGCAACAAAAGGGTTGATGGTATATATCAAAGGGAGAAAACATATCTTGTTTACTTGGACAGAAATTTTACATTATTTTATTTTTGTTAATAAAGAAAGGTTACAATCACTAAATTCTCTGCATACGAAACTATGTCCTCAAAGGAATTATTAAAAATAAATGCGACAACTTTAAAATAATTATTTTTGTCAAGTCTGGAAAATGCCATGTTAATGGACGTAAGAGGTGAGATTTCATTCGAAATGAAAAAGAAATTATTATAAATATATTTTTTAAACTCTGAGGGTGATAGCGCTAGAAGAAAAAAATTGTGATAAATTTTTATAGTGACAGTTCCTTAAGAAGGTTTTAACGTGACAGACAAGAGCACATCGCTTTCAGCTGGAAAGGTGAAAAAGAAATGAGATGATACTTACCCTAAATAGCTGAACAGCAAGAAACAGACCGAATCCTGGAAGAACATACTTCCATGGGACATGATAACCAAAAATGTGAAAATCTTTGATGACTCTTAAAATGTTGGCAGCGATGTCTGCATGGGGCTTAACATGTTTTCCATAAACCTTCTTTATCTTGGGATAAAATACAGCTAAAACGACACCTAGCACAGCTACAATCAGCAGCTTCGTTTTCAACTTAGCCATTACCGGTTAAGAGCAAGCTGCAACAAGACAGCTACTAGGAACACTTCATCAACTGCTGGAATGAAACTCCTCTGTCATGGCTGTTGTTTACATGTTACGGGCATGCGTACTTTGAAGTCATATGCACGTGCCTTGGGTGCCTCGTTTTTATGCGTCCAATGCGCATTCAGAATTCAGGCCACAATCCCCAAGATACCACAACCTGACGCGTTAAAACGCTTTAAAATTTATGAATTTCATGATTATTTAATGAAACTACGATATAATGCAAAACTACAAACAAGAAGTCCAAATGGAAAATTTCCAACCTGTCATTTCACCTTATCTTTATCTAAATCCTTCTTTACCTTTCGGAATGGTAAGAGGCTGTTTAGATAAACGTGAAAAAAAGAAATAGAAATATTTAATACACCTGTTAAAATCGCCAAAAAGTTTTCTCAGTGTCCCAAAATTTATGAAATCATAAATGTTTTAAGCAGTTTAATATATTTCCTAGGAAAGTCAGTGTTTAAACAAGCCATAATTATCCAATGTGCCCTTCAAAGACCAAAATTCAAAGTCAATCTGTTGAGCATGTGCCAAGAGCTTGGCACAAATACGTTATTTAAATTTTAGATTAACAACACTCTAACCACATTGATGTGGTAAAGAAAGGCCAACATAACAAAGCTGCCCGCAAAAAGTAGGCTATCTGGGAAGTCAATGCAATACAGTAATTGGTCACGTGCCTAGTTGTTCAGAACTGTTGTTAGATGGAAGGAGCCTACTTTTTTCACCTTTCTTGGACCTGACTAAAAGGTGTAACCATTTGCAACTAAAACAAAGGCAAAACCTTCTCGCCTCTGTAATCCTGTAATATTTAAAATTTAACTTCGTCCCCAGGGGCTTCAAAATAGCGAAAAGCCTGGGCACGAGGGAAGTCGGGTTAGCGGAAGTAACCAGCATGCATACTTTAGTTTATTTGTTATGTAGGTCAATAAAATGGCATCTAATAGCTGATGTAGACCTACCAACGAAAGCATAGTTACAAAAACAAATAAGTAAAATATGTACAAGGCAATAACAGTATACAAGAAATAAAAGCACGATATGATGTAGCTAACTATATTGAATTTGTAAGTTAATTGTAAATAATGCATAGGAAAAATTGTGTTAAATTACAATCTTTACTTTAATATAAGCAATTTAAAATTTCCAAGATTTCCATTTCACTACCGCAAGAATTAAGAACATCAACATTGCGAGTGGAGTCTTTAATTTTAAAAATTAAAACGGCGGTTTTTCTGGTAACAAATCCAGGCTTCCTAGCCCTTTGAGCTCTTCAAATTCCATGACTTTCCATGACCTTTTCCAGTTTTCAATGACTTTAGTTTCAGCTGTCACTTTCAAAAATTTTCACAACTATTATTGTTTTTGGTGATATTTTCTACCTGCCTATTTAATTACGTATCTCTATCCATTCTCGACCCCAGTGCTTACGGGTTTGGGAATCCTCTACATGCGCAGAAGAGCTCTGGGTCGAGATTGATCTCTATCTTACCTTGTCCTTGCTTTGACATCCGCAGTAACTAATCTACCAAACATTACTTCAGTTTTCCATCACTCTCCATGGCTAACAATCAAATTCCATGACTTTCCAGGGTTTTCCATGACCTGTACGAACCCTGCAACTCACGTGCTCTTTTCAAGTAGCAAGAGAATGCGTCAGTGTGGATTAAAATGTGGCACATCACCACTCTTCCTAAAGTAGGTGGATTTTTAAGATTATTGTATCCTTAAAGAGAAGACTCGTTGACCTCTTTCATGAATCAACTTGATTATTACTTTTCGAAAGTCGTAAAAATTGCAAAGGACCACTCAACGCTGGGATCGTATTTTCTATCCGGGCGGATCTACTACAAGTGGAGATAAGTGTGTTAGGTAGTTCAAAGTCTTTAACAACAAATGAAAATAATGTTGTTCTTTAGTTTTATTCGTGGTAACAAGTTTACCTTTCTTTGTTTCAAACTCATCATTAGACAATAACGCACAAATTTAAAGCAAAAATAAATTGTTTGCCAGTCAAAATACCGCATTTTTAACAATTTTATTCGGCCATAGCTTATAACAATGAGATCTTACAACTTGATCATCTTTCCCATCTTCTTTTCTTAAGGGAGTCGAAACGAAACAAAGAACAGACATTCGATCTATTAATATTTATTGACGAGCAATAGAAATTACTGATCGTGAGGGCAGCTTCCGAGAGCATAAATAAAGGGGAGAAGTGTAACGCCACGTTACCATGGTAGCAAATGGTCATTTGCATTGCTATATTTGCAGTACCACGGTTTGTTAAGATCCAGAAGATGATTTTTCTACCATGAAAACGTGACGTAACGACTTCTCCTCTCTATTGTTCAAGGCATTTCCCCCTTTCGCACAAGTAATACTGTTTGTAAGCTATGTAATGAAGAATGGTTTATACCGGGGAGGGGGGGGGGGAGAAAGTATTACTAGCGGATAATTACGTATTTTTTAGGGTTACTACTTGTTAACTGAAGTCATCAAACATGCGTCCCAGAACAAATCGGCTTGTTGCTTGTTGTAATATGCATAAAACAACAATAACTTGTAAGCTACTGGAATAAACAATCAAGAATCTTCGGACAGAGGAACTTCCTGACATATTGTTGCCCGACAATGAATGGGCGTAACATTCGGGAGCGAAAAGCAATCACAAGCTTGCGCGATAGCTGAAGGAAGATGCATTGTTACACTTTTCTCGACTACAATGACATATTTTATTGCTAATTTTAAACAACTTTAAACTAAAAGAACCGAACATTCTTCAAATCAGCCTGAAAGCTTCACAAAACGTTTCCTGGATTCCTTGTGACCATTTTTAAAAAGCATAATCGTAATCGGTTTCCTGTGATACTCTAGTTAGGTGTGAAACTAGACAGCTGTTACGAAGCCTCTTTGCTGTAAAGAAACGCTGTCAATGTTTTCTGTCTATCGTTACGCCTTTAAAGCGTTACTTAACTGGTGCAAAGTTCGCCATTAATCGTTTTGAATGACCAGAACAAAAGGACAATTGCTAAAGAGAATCTAAATATTCGTGGGCCCCATTTTAGCGAGATATTTTAGCGGTAGAATCTTGAGTTGGTCCGTTTGATCCATTTTAATAATTCCATCAGGATCGTCGATGTTGATAAGGGTCCCTGTGCGCTCGCGGTCGTCTCCTAAAATCACTTTGACCTGCAAAACAGAACGCAAGTGTCACTGTCTGAACTGGACTCAAGCTAAGAAAATGGAACCGCGATTACTAGGAAAAATTACGACGGAAAAGATGTTTTATTCCGCACGCCACGCGGAGTCCCTCAAAAGGAAACGAACCTATGGCTCAAGCCTAAAATACTATTTGGGGGCTGCGGTCACACCATGCGAGCATAGCATCCTTTTGTCTTCTTCTTGATTGAGGAGGAGAAAAGGAGGCTCTGCCTGAATCACGTCAATCCTTTGACGTCGCCGCAGCCCGGAATTCTGGACTATTCAATCTTGTTTTCCCGGTCAAACCAGTTTTTTCGAGTGCGAGCATCCATTTATTGATAAACCGATGGTCATTACTGAGCCTGTTGTACCAAGAGCATGGTTATTAGGCCTGGGTTCAAAACTGTCTCCTAGCAACATGCAGCGCATGCTCAAAAAAGATCTTACTCGATTCATGCAGAGTCTTGCTCAAGTAAGCCAAATTTGAGGAAGCGAAAGAAAGGCTCTGCTATAAGGGTGGAGCTGTCACCACTGATTGACGGAGGAACTAATAACGTTAACTGGAGATAACTAGTCAAACAAGATGTACAGGTTACCTTATCCTGTTTAATTGGTTCACCAGGATCCACGTTGTGAATAGAGACACTGACGTCACGCTTTTCGTCGTATAAATAGACTGTGCAGGTTCCTCCAGTGACAGTGCGCACTACACCTTTCTTGTCCATTAGCTTAGGATCCTGGAAACAAACCACGTGGAATACACGTGATCATTAAGATTAAACAAGTGATAGAATGAACTTCGAAAAACTTCTTTCGAGATTTTTTAAGGCGGCAATAAGAAATAAATGAATTTATTATATTAGAGACACCGATGAAATACCAAAATTTTTCCAGTGACGAAAATTTGGTATCCAGTGAAGATACAAGTTTTATCCATCACATGTGAAGATATCGCGGTTGTCATGGCTACTTCAGTCTCAGCCAATAGGAAAAGACCACCACAGCATCTCGCCCTCGGTGTCTATATAATGAACAGAATATTACATGCCTGCTTGTGGATACGAATTTTATCTTCTCGTGTTCAACTCTATATCTCACTCGAGTTGAACACTCGAAGATAAAATTCGTATCCACGCACGGGCAGGTAATATCCTCTATAAATAAAATTCTGATAAACAGTGATTTAGTGAAACAGAAACAAATAAATAACAGCGTAAAAAATTCGACGTTTCGGCGTTATCGTAACGCCATTATCAAGACTATCTAAGTAACAAATTATGCAAGTGTATTTTAACGAGTTTCGAGTCTCAAATAATTAGCATACTAGAAAAAGGGGTCAAAAGGACATTCTTTACACAAACACATTAGGACAGGCAAAGTCAGTTTGCACGTTAAGGGATGTTTTAAACTTGCGAATAAAAAGTATCTCTTTAATGAGGCCGTCGAATTTTGTCAAGCACGTGGAACTGCTTCAGAAGGCATGTTGGTGTTGTGGCATTGTGTTCATTAATTTTACAAAGTGTTTGTAAACGGCGGCAAATGATTTCTGCTTGTGACCATCAACAATGTGTTGTTTATAAGTTTCAATGTAACCTGTGTGATGCACTATTTGTGGGATATACTCGGCGCCATCTGAATAAACGTAGCGTACCTCGAAGTAAAGTCTACTGACGTTCGTCAAGTTATCAACATGCGTGAAACTATGACTCAGACACAGGTGGCCCAGAGCCTGGGTTACCTGTGCTTATATAGTTAAAATAACTAAGCTTACCTCGTGATTTTCGTTGATTCGCACTTCTATGTCTGTGGTGACCCAGTCTCCTCCAGCGTGTGTCTCCTCCATACCTGTCCCTGGGGTAAGCGGGTTAAATGCCGGGGATACCGGGGCTATACTACCGGGGGTCATTGGGTTACCGTATCCAGCGGGAGATGGGGACTGAGTGTAAGGAGAATAACTTGGTTCTGAGCCGTACATGCCTCCCCCTGGGGTATTGGGAGTGTACGGTCCTCCGTATCCCCCGGGAGTGGCTGGGTTCGGTGTTCCATAAACCTAAAGAAGAAAGAGTAAAACGATTTCAAGTATAATTCAGCCAGTTGATTACGTAAAACTATTACTTATGGAGTTGGTCGCTAAAAACCGTTTACTGTTCATATAATATCAACATAAGAGAGATAAGAGTCCTTGCGTCAACAGTCGGCAAAGACGAGTGCTTCTCAGAAGGCACTTCTACTTGCAATGACAAGGACAGGGAATTGAACGTATAAAGTCTCCCGAGAACGATTATGGTTGTCCACAGCAACTTCCAACGCTGTGTTACCTCTCGAGTTCGAGACTTAAATCAAGAACCTTAAGGCCAGTTAACACGTCGTGCTTCTGCAGTGCGGAACTTCAAAGCGTCACAAGCACGGCAAAAGCACGACGTCTGAATTGAAGTCGTGCGTCTGTCGACCCAAATTATAATTTGAGTGTAATATAGTTGAACCTTCATGTGCGACCACCTCTCGTAAGCGATCACTTATCCAAAACACTAACATTTTCCCCATCAAAGCCTTATGGTCGGAACCTTTCTTAAACGACATCCTCTCGAAAGCGACCGGTTTAAGAATTTTCCATTGTATTAATCCTCCTCTAAGCGACCACCTGATACAATGGTCTGATCCTTCTGTTCGCTGTATGAAGTAGCAGAGAGTATGAACGTATGATTGTATCAGAACAACTTTTAGAAACAACAAGGATTTACATATATTGTAACCTAAAAATTGCATGTAATACATTCTCTCCAAAAACTAGATGTATCCGGACTTCTCCTCCTGCAGTTTGACTCTTAGCGGTAAGCGACCACCTCCCTCGAGCGAACGAACACTAACTCTTTGCATTTTGGGTGGTCGCTTACGTGAGGTTTAAGTGAATATGGATCGAAAGAATTGACGATCAACCATATAGTAGTGTGTATTTCCAAGCGAGTGTGTATTAACCTGCATCAGAAACAAAACTTACCCCTGGTGAGGGGGTGGACGTATCAAAGTTGTAATCAAAATCTTCATTGCGTGCTGGTGTATTTGGCTGAGTTGGATCCCAGGCTCCTCCGTGAAGTGGGGTGCGTGAAGGATCGTGGGACGGCGTCATTGAGCCATAATGAGGGGTACGACTTCCTGCAAAACAAGGAAACCGAGTTGAGTAAGTTTACGAAGATAAGAATTTCTAGCTAAGGTTAGTATAAATGAGGAGTAGACGATTGCTTTGGTAAACGTAGCAAGAACCAAATTAGAGCGTTCAAAATAAGGTCAGGGATCCTGGTAGGATAAGGAACAATATTGCTACCTGCTACATGCCAAAAGAACAAAGTTGCTAAGGAAGATTTCACAAAGATATAAGTATATAATTCAATGCGCTGTCTTACCATCGCCGTGAGTTGGCGTCTGGGAGCCATACATGGGCGTTCGTGAACCGTGCATAGGGGTCTGGGAGCCATACATGGGCGTCTGAGAACCATACATGGGAGTCTTGGTATAAACAGAACTGCCGCGACTAGATGGACCCCTGAGGAATAACACAGCAATGTAAGGATACAGTACAGTACTACTTAAACACAGTATGAGGCAAGACAGACGTCTATGACTCACATGTTTAGGGGAAGAAGAGAAAAAAGAAAGCGGTTCCGCTGTTCTGCCGCCTTTTCCACGATCTGTTCGCAACACGCTACAAGATCGGTCGCAACCAAAACAAAATTCAGAGTCGCTTCCACACAATTTCTCTCCATTTCCCGTTTTAGATGCAGTTTTCAAGTATTTATTTCTTTCTCTGATTATTTTATGTAAGCCGGTGGTAATAAGCCGAAGTAACTGGTTTAGTTTTAAGAGAAAAGGATTCTATGTCGTTTAGAAAAAGCTATTATAAGAGTTTACCCAACAATAGCAAGCCTCATTCTGTCCACGGAGATTGTTTTACAGCTACTGTGAAGTTCAACACGAGCAGTAGTTTCTGTGGCATCTTTGACTATACCAACATATCCTGAAAGAAAGGGAGAACAGTATGTTGGTTAAGTTGGGTTTTCTGTCAAATGCAATGCAAAGCAGCGAAACAAAGCCATAAAACAAAACATATAGGAGGCAGCGTGGCCGAGTGGTTAGAGCACTGGACTTGTAATTCGGAGGCCCCGAGTTCAAATGCCGCTCTAACCGCTGGCTGGATTGGTTCACGGTAGTCCCAAGTTCAAATCCTCGACCACACTTGTAAACAGCAAGCTAATTTGCCTCCGGCCAGTTGGGATTCTTAACCCTGTTAAGTTCAATTTGAAATATTGGTTTCAGGCATTTGCTCGGCCCCACTAGCATTAGTGCTATAAATACTGCCGAGGCTAAATAGAGGAATTATGATTATTATTACTATTATTAAATTACATGACAACACAACGTATTAGATAGCAACACTTCATGAAATAATACATCCTAAGTGAATCACTTAAATCTAAGTTAAAGGATCATAATTAAAAAACGAACAAAACAATTAAGGAGGCATCTATTTCAGAAACTGCTTTTGTATAAGTAATGTTCAGTTCTTAGATATGAATACAGGATTCAACAAAAGGAGGAGAGCACTCTCGTAACTATCAAACAAGTTATAACTTTCACTTTCGGAAAGTAAATGTCTGGTACAAGTGGACGTTTTCTCTCATTAAAGCCAAAACTAGAGAACAACTACGTCTATTCATTTTACAAGATTGCAGAAAGGTGCGGTGGGTAGGGATCCGTTACCTAAAATCTAATGTCAACCTGCATAATTTGCTAAGGTCTGACGAAAGACTAAAAAGTTTGACTGGGATTATAAAAGCCAGACGTTAGTGTTATATCCGGCTTTAAGAATTATGCGACTTGTCCCCCATGAGTCCTTTGTTCACTTCTTCGAATGACGGTTAATAGACTAGAAATCAGTAATTTCACCTTCTATTCATTCGAAGTCTTTTAAAGGAAACATTGCCTTAACAGCTATTTCGACAGAGCTGAATAAAATATCAGTGGGTGTAAAATGCATTTTGCGGCTTGGACGTCTTTCGGACACGTTTGAGTAGTAAGTTACCTTTATAAGGTCCCTGTGAGATACGCACAGTCTGTGAAATCAGTGACATATCACGACCGCCACGGCCACGACCCCGTCCTCGACCCATTCCTCCTCTCGGGGCACCTCGGCCACCAGCGCCGCCACCAGCTGTTACAAAGAGGATTTTAGTGAGTAAGAGATGGCATTTTACTTAGTCTGCATGGCAGGTTTTAATTTTTTTTTTGTTTTGCTGGTTTTTATATAGCGTATGAGGGGAACAGGCGAGGGGGAGGGCCTCCTCTCCCTTTTTTCTCCCCTCGTTAGCGCGCGTGTCCTCGAAATTTCTCCCTTAGTATGTTACTATAAAGAGAAGAGTCGCTTGAATAGTTAGTTACCATGACAACTAGCGAACGCCTTGTTTACGATCACTAATTAAGCCTGGAGTAACCCGCGTCCAAAGGGGTAGGGGAAGGGGATTAGGAGAAAGAGGTAAAAGAGAGCCCGCCCCCTGCCACGTAGGCTAGCCTGGAGCAACAAGGCTCAATATTATATCTGACGGAGCGGTTTGTTGAACCTCTTCTTCATGGACAGATACCTAGCCATGGTCCCGCGGGCCACATGAAAATACCACATTTTATCTCTCTTGGATGAAAAATCTTCTAGTATCATGGTCCCAAAGGCGTGCACCGAACCGATGGGAGCCGATATATAGCATGCAGGGAATCTAGTAAGATGTGTATTNGTTTGAGTAGTAAGTTACCTTTATAAGGTCCCTGTGAGATACGCACAGTCTGTGAAATCAGTGACATATCACGACCGCCACGGCCACGACCCCGTCCTCGACCCATTCCTCCTCTCGGGGCACCTCGGCCACCAGCGCCGCCACCAGCTGTTACAAAGAGGATTTTAGTGAGTAAGAGATGGCATTTTACTTAGTCTGCATGGCAGGTTTTAATTTTTTTTTTGTTTTGCTGGTTTTTATATAGCGTATGAGGGGAACAGGCGAGGGGGAGGGCCTCCTCTCCCTTTTTTCTCCCCTCGTTAGCGCGCGTGTCCTCGAAATTTCTCCCTTAGTATGTTACTATAAAGAGAAGAGTCGCTTGAATAGTTAGTTACCATGACAACTAGCGAACGCCTTGTTTACGATCACTAATTAAGCCTGGAGTAACCCGCGTCCAAAGGGGTAGGGGAAGGGGATTAGGAGAAAGAGGTAAAAGAGAGCCCGCCCCCTGCCACGTAGGCTAGCCTGGAGCAACAAGGCTCAATATTATATCTGACGGAGCGGTTTGTTGAACCTCTTCTTCATGGACAGATACCTAGCCATGGTCCCGCGGGCCACATGAAAATACCACATTTTATCTCTCTTGGATGAAAAATCTTCTAGTATCATAGTCCCAAAGGCGTGCACCGAACCGATGGGAGCCGATATATAGCATGCAGGGAATCTAGTAAGATGTGTATTACATTCATTTAAAAACGTACTGATTCTGCATTGGATTAATGAATTGGAATAATAAGGGTTAAATTTTATTGCAGCTAGCGGGAGATAACGGTTTGACACTTGACTGAAACTAGTAGTCTTCTTGGACAGCACGTCGTTCTTCTGTAACCAAAGCTCACCTCCTTCTCTAGCAGGACTTGTTATTCGTGGCGATGCTGGCGCAAACCCACTGATGCCTAAAGTATTTGATATCGCCTAACAAAGAAACGACAAGTAGAAGAATATTAGGTGTCGTTTCGGAGCACGCATAACAAGCAAACTCTTTGAGCAAGTTATTTAAACAGAGTTTAGCCACTGTTTCACAAAACTTTGCTCTAAGCCATTTTTACTTTGCCGATCGCGTTTACGTCAACACCATTTATCGTGAACAGTTTCATGAAAGCATATGGCGTAGAATAGAAAAGCATCTGTCTTCTTAAAATAACTCACTAAAGAAGAGAGCTGGAGGTCCACAGATTTCCTAAACCGAGGTCTAAGTTAAACTTCGTTTAAATAACCGACCCTTTGTTGATTAAGGCAGCGTTCACAATTAAAGCTTGGGCAACGTGCCTGAGTGAGTACGTTACTTACTAAGTACCTTCGAAAGAATTCGGACAAGGTGGCGGCGCCCAAGTACAAGGTCAGCAAGGTCGAGACCTTGAACTCGGGCACAAAAGTAGGCACCGGGTCATTGGGTCCACACTTTGCCTGTTAGTTCCGAAGCCCACTCTACTGCTTTCCATACACAAAACTTCCTGCTACACTCACGTATGAAAATGGCGGCCGTCAAGGCGAAATAGAGCAAACATGTACACTGCAGTTCAATGTCGGGTACCCCAAGGTGTTAACACAACACCATTTGGGCTGGTACCCAGCCAGTGGTACTCGAGCACCAAGTAGTACCTAAGATAAAACAGCTTAAAAGCTCATGCAACAGAAATCTTGTTTTATTTGAACATGAATACGTGCCGCCAATAACGTATACATGTAAGGTCCACAAGAATTAAACGACTCATGGTTGTGATCTTTACGGTGAATATACCCTTTTATACTGCTGAAAAGAAAGCCTAAAAATTCAGGAGTGATTCTGACTGCGTTTCGAACACTTGCGTCCCAGCAGAATAATATTTTCCTGGAAATATCAAATAAAACGAAAACCATTTTGCTTTCATATTTACCTTGCCTCCCCCGGCCAGTACCAGCTGCTTTGTCTTACACACAAGCATTCCGCCGTTCTCGATCACCATCTTGGAAGATAAGAACGCAAAACTGCGATAAAGGTGCTTGATTTCACCTTGCAAACCCTACAAGTAGAACACGCAAGACAAGTGTAAGAACGGGACAATGGAACAGCATCGTCATGTTTTAGGTAAGTATATAAGACCGGGTAGGAAAGCCCTGATAACCCTGCAATTCAAAAACCATAACTTTCCACAGCTAGGGTTGTTTCAGGACTGTTGGTAAAATTTAAGGTCAGTTGAAGAATAGTAATGGTAACATCAGTGTACTGTACATACAGCATGTGGTCCTTCTATGACTTTCACGATGTCCCTCACTTGCACAGAGTTCTAAAAGGAAAAAAACCATGAATGATAAGCAAATCAACTTATAAGTTCTGTAAAGTGAATGATTCAAAAGAAGCTACCAAAACCAGTTATGAGATAAATGATTTAAAAACATGATCCTTGGAAGCTGATGATACACCAGCGGTTGGTAAGGTCTTCTACACGTGCATTTGACACGGGTCCTACAAAGGCGCAGGGTTAAAAAATAGTGGAAGATGGTATTTTTGTCAGCTATTTCATTCCTAGCCTGCGAACCGCAGACGTATTTCCGGTCGTCGCTTCTCTCCCTGGTGAAACCAAAGCCGAAAAAACCGGACGCTCTCGCAGGCTATTTCACTCCAAACCGCCAGCTCTATCGCTGTGGAAGTGTTAAAAAAAAGATTTGTAACCTGCTCTGAATCCAACGCTACAGCATTTTTGTTCTCTCGTCTTCTTCCTACAGCTTGGTGTTTGACTTGAATGACCTAAAAAGGCACGCAATTTATTTGAGGGCCAATGTATTTAGCACGAAAGTACTAATTAATAATTAAGGGAATGTTTTTTTATGTCTCCTTCTGGTAGCCTGCGAGCAGATGTTTCTTATTTCCTTTGCTGCCCAAAGAAAATAAGAGACTTCTTTACGCTGGCTAACAAAAGGAGATAGGACCGCCACTTTACGTGGTCATCAGAGCCACGCGAAGGTCCAGCCTTTTACAAAGCAAAAGCAGTAACTTCATTTCTCAGCTATTTTCAAGACCCTGATTATTGATCTAGCCCAAGAGAGAACGATCTAGTCTAGCCCCAGGGAATGAACCCACAACCTCCCGCTCTACAGTCAAGCGCTCGGCCGCCAGAACTGATCCTGTAGAGTACAGCACTTGGGTTATTGACCATAGGAGCAGTTAATATCCCTGAGCCTTTGGATGATGACTAGGATGACAAACGAATCCAAACTAACGTCTGATGCAGATCACATGTCTCAGGAGGTGATTGAAATTTTCACATTTTCAATGAAGTAAGGAAGAATATGTGTATTAAGTAAAAGCCGTCCGCTTTTTAAACCACCATTCATCAAGCTACAGACGTACTTTGATTGAAAATTCCCTGGTATTTTCTAACCCTAATTATTTAGCCTACGAAAACATCCGTTTCTCCTTGCTCTTCGCCGCTGGGGACGTTTAGCGCGGAGGACCGTCTGCGACTCAGCGACAGAAATTCCATACTGAAGATGTAAAATCTGTCCAGACTCCGGTCAGAAGCCCTGATTGGTCGACGGAGTAGTTACATTGTTTTAGCCATTGTTTACGAATGACAGACAAAAGACAAAAGGCCACAAAGGTCAAATGTAAACGCGAAGAATCTCGAACAAAACAGCCAGTATTTCTCCGCGCGAAACGTCCCCAGCGGCGAAGAGCGAGGAGAAACGGATGTTTTCGCAGGCTACTAATTCTTCAAAGGAGACAAAGGAAATTCTAGTTAAATGAGAACAGATTTTACCTACAAGATATCTTCACTCAGACCATACTGACAAGGCCTTAGGGATGAGAGTACAGAGAGTACGGCCCTCTTGTTTGATCTCCCAGCAAGAACGTTAGGGAGGAGTCATTTTACATTCTGTTAAGTTTTTGTTACTTTGCTAAACAAAATGATTTTGGTGATAGATAATGAGAAGATATGGCCTGTGAACAGGCTGTCTACTGGGAGATAGCGTAAAGATAAGTTAAGAAAGAACATGAAAACAAGGACGGGGGCAGAAGGGGGAGATTTCACAAGTGTCTCCCCTTCCCTCAGAACGAAGTTCCCTCAGAAGCCTGTTTGCAGGCTAGAAAAAGATGGAAGTTACATTCGTCATGTCTCTTTGAAAAGCCTGAGTCCAACCCATGATGGTTACTCAATGGCGGTTCTGCAGAGATCTGTGTTAAAAATTTCCATCCTTTCATTCAAAATCAGTTGATCGGCAACTTTTAGATCAGATTTTCGTACTGGATTAATTGATGGTAAACAATAAGCTCGTGAGAGCAGAAGGCAGCAGCTTTCATGCTGAGAGTATTCTGGGGTACTTTTTTTGATAATAGTGCACTTAGGCAGTATCAAGGCGATTCAGAACTTACCTTTCCATGTTGATTCAATACTGAAAACATGTCTCTGTCCAAACGAATGATAACTCCAACAGTCTGTGGACTGGAAATAACAAACAAGCAAAGACTTGACACATTTCTCCAGTTATACTCTCTTTATGGCTAGACCCGTAAATCTGTGAATTACAAATGCTGAGACCCCGGCGAAATTATTACATGCAAAGTTTACAAGGAGCCTGGAACAGATAGGCATGAAATTCAACAACAAAAGAGTGGCAGTAGGTATTAGCTTACTCTAGCTGCACCATATCCCCCCACTGATGTTGTCCCATGGAATCCACTCCACTGCTCCTTTCTGTACATAACTGAAGATCTTTGGGCAAAACCTTGAGCTGCAACACAGTAAGGTAAAAGTTATTATCATGTTTTTCTATCAACTGTGCAGAGTCATCAGAAGAAATGATACACCTGGAATAACTGTCCAACTAAAACTGAAGTTGAAATACATGTACATGTAGGGCAGGAACTTTTACCATGTGCACATAACCGACATGAATAACTAACCCGGCATAATGGTTCCTAAATGGACATCATGGCTCCCAAGCAAGTTAACAGAACATTAAGGACGAAGATTTGAACAAAAAGCTTATTTCCTTTAATTTAGGGAACATAAAGAATGGCTCGATTTCTGCTGCTCACTTGGATCCAAAATTCCTTTGTAATAAGAGGTGGGCAGTTGGTAGGTCATTTCCTAAACACTTGCTAATAACCAAGCCTTAAGCTAAGTCAAATTATCGTTAGTAAATCATGCCTGTTTTGAGCAACCAAAAAGAAAAAAACAAATAAGAAAACATTTGCTTGAACTATTTCCCTACCTCATGCATGGTTAAATCTGCAAACAGCACCACCATGTTATCTTCAACTCGAACAATCAGCCCTGTGTCACCTTCATAACGACCCCCAATAACCTTGACATGATCGCCCATCTTAAAATGCTTCTGAAGCTCATTTGCCATAAACTCTAAAGGATCCTGTAACAGAAAATAATGTCAAAACTCCAACTTAAGCTCCTTAAATGATAAGACAGAATGTATCATTTCAGTTTATTCATGTAAGTAGTCTACTCAGCCAAGGTCGCCTTCTTTGCACTGGTACGTTTTGTCAACTCTTGGTTTTACTAATTCCTGTCAACAACTACTCTGATGCACTTGCACTTTTTTTTTATTTGAGTGTCAATGTATTTAGCACGAAAGTGTCAATTGGGGACACTATTTTTACGTCTCCTAATGGAGACTGGACCGCCATTTTACGTGGTCATCCGAGCCACGCGAAGGTCTCGCCGCTTGCAGTGCAAAGAAAGTTCCTTCATTTCTCAGTCATTTTAAGACCCTGAGTAATGGTCCGGCCCCGGGAATCGAACCCGCGACCTCCCGCTCTGCAGTCAAACGCTCTACCGACTGAGCTTATCCTGTCACGGTTCTAAACCTCAGATACAAATTTAATTAATAAAAAATATACCCAGAAAAACACATTAATATAATAATTTACACAACAATTTACCAATGAATACTTAGCTAACCTTTAAGTCTTCATGTTTTGGCATGATGGTGATTTTGTTTCCGTCAATACTAAGCACCGTTCCTTTCAAATTTGCCAGATCTCCTTCTGCGACTTCTACAACATCTCCAGTTGCAAAATTGTGTCTTTCTTCATCTAGTCCCTCCTTCAAACTTTTTACTGGAACTAAAAAAACGATTTAGGTGGAAATTCAGCCAAGATGATTTAGGATCACTCTATCAAGCTATTTGCCTTGCTCTTGAATTTCCCGCCATCTTTTACTATTTTTAGTAACAAAATGGCTGAAAATTGAACTTTCAAAACGCTATTTCTTTTGTGTAGATAGACAAATTTCAAAAAAAAATTTCACTTTTGACATCCTTGTGGTGAGTTCTTTCAGAAACCATCATTAGATATCCTATAATACTAAAAACAAAATTTGGCGGGAACTTTGTGACCTCATTTACCCGCCAAAAATGCCAAAATCTGAAAACCAAAAGAAACATACGATTTTAAGGAATGGTGTGTTCTATATTGCTGCAAATTTTCAAGTGAATTGCATTAAAACTAAAAAAAGGTGAATGAAGGTGTGCGTTTTTTATGTCACATATGCTCACGATGTAAGAGAGAAGAAGACATTCATACATTCTGGAATAATTTTAACTCAAGAAATCACTTCATTGGCACCCTTGGTTAACTTATAACTGTACAATTTTCAAGTTTAAATACCATTCCATGATGCTAAAAATTCCAGTGGTATAGATTAATGGCTACTTTCAGGGTTTTCTCATTTGGAATGCAATGACAAAAAAACAACCTATGGTAATCAATACCTTCTAGTTCAACATCCTCGGGTGCTGTCTCAAATTTCTGAAGCTCCAGCAGAGTTGGCTTAATACCTTCAACAACCTGATACACAAATATGAAGTACACTTGTATTACAATCGTAGAAAACTCTTAAGAGTCAAGTAAAAATGTGTTCCACACATCTACTGTAGCTATAACTCTCTTCTTTTTTCTAAATAAAACATCGTTCTGTACACCTTAATTTTAACTCTTCATCATTCACTAAAGGCAGAAGCATATATGCTTCTGCTAAGGGCTAACGGGGAATACCTGCCGATTTCCAAATATTCAAACTCAAGGAAAACATTCAAATTAGCAGTAGTACAGAAACCTTCTAACCTTTTTCAATGAACTAATTTTTTTGTTTTGTTTTAAGAGCTATCTGATTGAGCTCATCTTTTCATAAGACAAGGTTTAGCTCTGAGACAAATCCTAGTGACTGCAAAAGCTCTACACCTGTGAATTTTCTATGCCCGACATAATGGTTTAGTGCAAAAGATGCCAAAAAGCAAGGGGAAGTCATCATAGTATCATGGGCTCCGTTAGAGATTAAGGGCAAACCAGTACAAAAGCTTACTATTGCAGACATGGCTAGTGTCTTGTACATGAAGCCACCTCGATAACGACTGCCTTCAAAGATCATGAAATCACCATCCTGTCCTATTTCTCCTCCAATTGCTCTGTGTATTAGAACAATAAATCATCGGTCAGAATGAGCCGTCACATACAAAAACAACTTCAAGCCTTAGAAGCTGCAGCTGCATTGGTGCTATGGAACATGCAGTTAAGAATTAAGTTAAGGATGTCCATGTGTTGAATGGACTGAATGCAGCAAGAGATCGAAATACGACAATGAGGCCCTCTTAGCAGGGTCGCGTATGTCCCTAGTCTGAATTTAAAAACCTGTTGTTTTGTATATTGAGGAATCCTATGTAGCTGATTCAACCATATCTAACTTGTCAGAATTTTGCCCTAAAAAGGCCTCTAAAATGTCATGATGACACCATGGAACTCACTTAACAATGACTTTATTTCACTTCAAATTCACTAGCTAAAACAATGTGAAGGCAGAAAAAAAGATCTAGTACCTGATGGCATCAGCATCAAACAGTTTTTGGGGCGGCTTCCTTTTCCTTTTCCTCTTCTCCAGTGAATCCTACAAATTTACCAACCACAAATCACATTTCATCAATACTCTGTTCAATGATATTACACCTGATAACACTGTAGAAACCTCAAACGCATTCAAAACAGAAATAACAAACTACAACTTTATTGCTTGCTGAATCTGGTCCAGCCTATTCACAAACCATTTAAACCAACAATTTTGCAAGCTAATGTCAGCAACAGCCAGGAGCTAAAAGTATCCAAAACATTCAAAGGAATACAGTAAATGACTTTATAAGAAAGCGACTTCCATAAAATGGACACCTAGAGATGACCCATGCAGTTCTCTAGTCTTTTGATTGAGCTTGAGTTTGAGTCCCCAAGTCCATTTTAGAGAGAGTTTACTGTAGTCTTATTTAATGATTGACTCATTTTAAGATAAAAAAAAGCATTACATGTATGTACCTCAGCAGACTTAGCTAGGCCTCTACTTCTACTGTAATCAATCCTGGGAATCATCTTTAGTGTCACCTATATATTATAGTACAAGAATAATCATTATCCTAACTGAATTTTTTTTTTCCATACTGAGCTCCATATCCACATAATTTTACGACTTAAACTACCCTTTTTTGCATTTAATACAAGCATCTGTACTTGTTAGCATGAGTATCAAAATGTAAATGGCTTTGTCTCCTAGCCCTAATTATTCCAGCATCAGGGCTAGGAGACAAAGAAAATTGAGAATAAGCCGCTTCAGAATTCCGAAAACCCTCACTTTCAACATGAGGCAAAGTGCACAACCTTTCTTGTGAAAATGAGTTTTATTTGCATGAGAATGAAAAATCATTTCCATATCAAAGGCTGAGCACTTAGCCTCGTTTTAATACAGAGGCTGCAGGGGAACTCGGAAATGGCCCATTAAGCTAGGTTAAAAAATTTTGACCTGAATATACCGTAAAATTCTGAAAAAAAAGCCCCTCCAAATACAAGCCCCCCAAACTCGTAATGCAAAAAAACCCCATTACATTGCCCCTCCGAATATAAAACAAAGCCAAAATGGTACAGAAACATATAAATATTTGTATTTGCCAAAGAACTATTACGTGCGCAAATGATTGCGGCCAGAAAGGGTCATAGTTTATTGGTGTTTGCATAGTTCCTCTTCACTCTTGGCTTTGATTTTCTCTGTCCATATTGACAAAGTCCTTGCACAGCTGTGTTTTAGAAAGATCTACGTCCTCAAGGTGAGTTCCAGTAAAAACTTTCTGCAAATTACATACTGACATAAATTTCCTTCCAACTCTAAGCTAGCCCAATCGATTTTGAGATGCAGATTTCCCTCTAAGTACAAGCCTAGCTAATTTTGGAATGCAAACTCCCCTCCATATATAAGCCCTCCAAAAATAGGCCCCTCAAAAAGGGCCTTTGAAAAATATAAGCCCTGGCCTTATTTTCGGAATTTTACGGTAATTTCAACCTGTAACAGTATATGTACGTGCATGTATGAAACATTTTTTCATATAACATTATATTATTAGTAAAATGAGTTGTCCAAAACTGTAAGAAATGTTTGCAGAAATTTTTGTTTTTCTTCAAGCAACATTACAGGATTAAAAACTTGATAAAAAGAAACAGTACAATTATCTTCTTTCATAGAATTCTTCACCCTACAGTTCTCATATATGATTTTCATATATTCATAACTTCAGAAACAATACAGTATATCTTTAGGAGAGATGTGTTGGAAAGTGAGGTCAACCAAAAACTTCTGTTCACAAAGTAATGACATTTCTGCAGGAATATAAATATTTCTCTGGCTCACTTGATTTCTTGCAGTGTTGACAAAATCCACCTGTGGAGAATTGTAACAGAGAAAACTGTAAGCTAAGCTGAGAAAATCATTAACAATACTATTTTATAACAGAGGAACCAGCTGGAACTACATGCCTTTTAGTAATATGAGGACTTTCCTATTCTGACAAGATTATCTATAGCACCAATACAGTTACGTAACTAACCTTAAGTGTACATTTACTTAGTGCAAGGGTAGAAAAAACTTGAATTCCAGCTTGTCCTTTGGGCAAGTAGCTCTCTCATTTTGCTTGCCCAGGACAAGTTCGTGCTCTTCTTAGTTGATGGTTTTGTTAGAGGATGACTTGCCTGAGCCCTTGCCCATGGGGCATGAAAGCCTCAAAAGCTTTGAAAGAATACTTGCCCAGCAAGAAAATCTATTTATCCTGGACTACCACACAGAACGTTTTTTGATCCCTGAAATGGTGACAAACATGGCATTACCTGTGCAAGGTCATCCTTGTAAATCCCTCGTTTTAACCTGACCCACTGTCTAGGCTTAACAGACACCACCTCTTTTACAACTTTCATAACATCTGTCATTTCTCTGATTGGCACCATCATCTGTGACCATTTTCCAAGTCGCAAAGTACCAAAACCTTCAATGGCCTATTGAAACACAAAAAATTGGGGCCATACAGTATATGAGTAAATCTCACGGCATACACATAAAAAGTGCTGGCACAACTATATTTCAGAATTCCTAAGTTGTGACAGCTTACTTAAGAATACTAATAAAACAATGACCTTTTAGATCTAATCTTGAAACAACAGCATTGACAAACCCCAACGGCTGCAAGTTGGTGTGACCAAATGCAAATGAAAATGGAGGAATATCTGAAACTTCCTTCAGGATTTTATTAATGTTAAAATTAGGTAAGTTTTATAAGAAAAGAGGATTAGCATGCTTAAACATGCTCAAAACTACAAGAATTTCTTGCAATTTCAGAAAGTAAGTGATTCTGTCTCAGCGACAGTGACATAAATTGCACTTTCCAGTTAGGATAATATGTATAAACAATAAGCAATACTAATTCAATAAATTTACCACTGCATAATCATCACAAACAAGTTTCAAGAAACAAAGGTGTTTACATAACCGCTTGAAAATGTCATAACTGAAATTGATTTAAAAAATCAACGATCCATCTGTTTGTTTTTTGCATGGTACATGTACACAAAGACACTAAACTACAGTGAAATAACATTGTTATCATGCTGTCGGCACCTGTTTGACATGAGTTTGTTTGTATGCTTCAATGTAGATGTATCCTTTGAGGCCTTCTACAGCCACAGCGGACTTGATCTGTAAAGGCTGAAAACAATAATATAAATAAATAAAAGGCCACGGCTAAACATCAAACTTTTCATGAGATGAATTAAACTGGGTGGAGTAAGTTTATGAAAAGATTGACGTCTGTCTCAGTTAAGTTCACGTCAATGGGTTTGGATCAACCAACACATTTTATCTGTCTGTTTCAGGTGAATGACACTTCATGAAGTTTGACCTCTAACCTAACAGACGAACTTACCTAAATTTAGGTCAACCAAGATTACAATTTGGTCTATCTCATGAAAAGTTTGACATTTGGCCTTGGCCTTATTATTTATGATAATGATTATGATATATTAAGAAAGCAAAGAGAACATGTGCATCATTAGACGATTTTAAAAGGCAACATGAACCAACTTGAAAGATTAAATTTTGTAAACTTTTGAATCTGTGCAACTGCAAAGTATTTAGTATACTGCATTCCCAGTGAACCAACGAGTTTGGGTAGAATGACTGGAGAAGTGGCTTAAAGTATACTACAACTAGACTAACCAACAAGTCTAACTATAGATGCACATTGTGACCTCTTGAATTCATCCTTTCATTCTTCTGCATTGCTTTATTATTTTATTTTTTTCTCTTGGATAGGTTCAGAAGACCAAATCTGACTTCACTTATCCAGTCATACAACATGTGTAATGTGATGATAATACATATACAAAGTCATGTACTTACTTCATCAGTAAACTGCTGGGCAATAGCTTTCCTCATCAGACCAATCACCGTAGCCTTTTCCTCTCCAATCTACACATTAATAGGAAAATGTACAGAACAGGAAAATGTGATTTCAAAAGTGATTACAGTTAAACCTCCACTAACAGCGGCCTCTCCACAACGGCCACCTTATTTTGTCCCTGAGGACAATCCATTCATTGACTCTTGTTAAAACCTCTCTACAACGGGAATGGTCATCAATATTATTAGCATGTCTCCATCTGCCAAAATAACCTTTTGACAAAGGCAAGTTTTTTCAGTGACCGATGAAAAAATCAAGAATGGTCATGAAATTTGATCCATGTAGCATATTGATGATTAATCATGGCATTCATGTTTTGATTGTGTTTCATCTATACATCTGCTGTAAGCATAAATCGTCTGCCATACTTATGGAAAATGTTGTGAAACTTGCTCGATTTGTCACATAAACATTTTGATTTCAAACATTATTCAAGTTTTTTTTTGCGTTTTTTTATCTCTATATAATGAATTATTATATATGATTAGATTACTGCTATGAGATAAAGTAAGCATGAACTTAGCACAATAAACATGTTGTACTCCCTAAAAGAATTGTTATATTACCCCAATACCTCCCCATAACGGCCACCTTTCCAAAACGGCCACTTCCTTCTGTCCCTAAGGCGGCTGTTGTGGAGAGGTTCAACTGTATTCCAAATCTTTAATTCTTTACTAATGATTATGTATGTAATGTATCTTTAGTTTTTACCTTGCATTTCACTGTCCATAGGTTTGGATCTCTGTGGAGATAAAAAAGATGCAGGTACAGCCAAGTGCCACAGCATGCATGTAGATATTACATTAAGATGTGAGGACATTGACACTGTTGTTGAAATGAGGAGCTTACATGTACTACATGTAAAAAATATATATCTAAAGGAGCTTGACAATACTAAAATATTTCATAACTCAATAATACTCAATTGGACGAGTGCTGATACAAAGAAGTAAAAACAACAAAAATAAAATTGCTTACTTGACACCAGGTAAAAGACTCTGCTGCTGAATCTCTGGTCGAAGTTCATAGTCATCTCTATACCTGTTCAATGAAGTAATAACAGTGTCATAAAGTCAGCCAAAGAATCAAGAAAATAATGATAAATGTTAAAATAAGTGGTAACATTATTTGTCCTCTACAGATGTATCTAAGCGAGTGTGTGACTGAATTACAGATGATCAGAGAGGTGGGAAAAGGTGGCAGCAAATAAGGGAGCACTTTGTTCCCACTACAGTCCATGTATCATCCCTGCACCCATTTACCCAAACTACTCACGGCACAATTCAGATACAATACTGTCAAATACCTTTAATAACCACACGGAGGAGGGCATAGAGTGTCGGTATTAATAGGGTGTCCATAATAAGTGGTTTGAATTTAGAGAAACTGTGAGGGCTTTCTTTCGCCAGGGACAAAGCAAACTGTTGGTAATAATGAGGTGTTTGATTTGGCAGGGTTTGACTATACTTGCTTAAAAGAAAATCACAACACAAAAGTCCCTGGCCTTCTTTCAGTGTTTGATAGTACATGTATTTTCCTGAAAGTTCACCAGTATCTATGGACACTCAAGGCATGTTCATGTACCACTGTAGTGCATTGATTACCGGTAGATAGAGTTAACTCTTTCAGCAGCAAATACATTGTATCATTTCTTGATGTTTACTTACAGTAATACAACTGTTAGTGTACACTGCACCTTAACTTATTTTACTATACTGATCAGCCTTTCTTTGGCAGGCAGTCCTGACATTTCAGAAGTGATCATTGCCCAGTATAGTAAAATTTCTGGATGTTTGCCACATGACAACAAAGGGAATAAGCTTAATCCACTAACCTCTCTGAAGACTCTGCAAACTTTTGCTTGTAGTAAGCCTCCAGTTCCTCAGCATTTTTATCTCTATAAACAACATATTTTTTAGTATCATTCATGTTTGTTAACATTGTAAATGCTACTTGAATTAAGACACATTATGGCAAGTCCATCAACATAATTTGGAGAGTGTAATATAAATGGTCTTGGCAATTCAAAGTGTACAGTTGTTTTTCATAGGACATAAAGAAATTTCAAAATATTCAAAAGGAAAAAACAAAAGAAATTAATGTTTACAGTCAAGGCAGGTCAAGCGTACCCCTCAAGAGTCTATTAATAAACTGATTATTTGAAAAATGAATCCGTTAGTCGTTCCCGTAACTGGTGTCAAATTCAAAGCGGCATTTCTGCATGCGTAATGAGCAGTGAATATTTTACGAGAACTTCTCTGTATTTGGTCAGGTTGAAAATCTTTGAATGGATTAAGTTTCTTAGAAGACATTTACATCGAATTCAGGAAAACGGAGCTAGTAGAAACTTCATAAATGCCTCGCGTGTGAATTCAGGGCTCATTACACATGCAAGAATATAGAGATCAATCTGAAATCTACAACTACCGACGGAGTCAACTTTCGAATAATAAATTTATTAATGGATTATTGGGGGCTACGCTTGACCTGGTTTGACTGTAATGAGTGTCTTTATATCTTATAAAGACATGGCTAAACTTAACATCCAATTTTTTAGACAAAAATAACCCCAAATCTAAATATTAGTGCATGAATGAGTTGATCTGTATCAGAGATTTTTAAGCTGTTCAAAATACTCGCAACCTTGTATTATCAGGTGAAAAACTCAAGGCAAAGCCGAGAGTTTTTAAACCTGATAATATGTCACTCCTACTCATTTTTTAAAGAGTACAAAAACAATCAGGTTTCCAATGAGCAGTACATACCCAATCATCTGCTGATAGCGTCTATTACCCTACAAAAAATAACATGCAAAAAAAGTCATTTCAGTCATTGACTCCTGGGGTGCTTTCCATTAAGGCAAAATTTCAGAAACATTCAGAGTCAAATGGAAAGACTTTCCAGTCATTAGCCTGCGAACGGCAGACGTTTCTCCTCGCTCATCGCCGCTGAGGGGCGTTTTACGAGTAGGAACGTCTGCAACTCAGCGAGAGAAATTCCATACTGATGACGCAAAATCTGTCCAGAATCCGGTCAGAAGCGCTAATTGGTCGACGGAGTAGTTTCATTGTTTTGGCTATTGTTTACGAATGACAGACAAAAGACAAAAGGCAGCAAAGGTCAAATGTAAATGCGATGAATCTCTAACAAAACAGCCAATATTTGTGGAATATAGTCTTCTCTAGAAGAAGCATTTGAGTTTTGCTGGAGCTCATTCGCAGATGAACACAACACTTTACCAAAATCGACCAGGAGAAACGTAAAATTGAACAAATTTGCACTTGAAACCCCATGACTACCGGATTTATTATGTAAACATTGATTTATGTCATCAGTATGGAATTTCTGTCTCTGAGTCGCAGATGTTCCTCCTCGCGAAACTTCCCTCAGCGGCGATGAGCGAGGAGAAACATCTGCCATTCGCAGGCTATCCAGTCATAGGGTCTCATTTGCAATCTCATTGCTCTCTTGAACCAAAAATCCAACAAGATGTATGTTATCGCACTGCCGATACTTTGCGACAACTTCAACAAAGAAATTGAAACTTCATCCAAAAGCGAAATTAATTTTGCCTTCATGGCAATATGCGCAGTTTTTTTAACAGAGTTCAAAACTAGTTTGAGTCTACAGATGCTGATGCCATTTTGAATGATTCAATAAGAAATGAAAAGAAAAACAGCGCTGTTCAGGAAAGTTTCCAGTTGAACCAAACATTCCATTTGCGTTTAAACTGGTCGAACAGGAAATTTTGCCTAAAAGAAAAGCGCCACTGATGACTGTCAATTACATGTAACCATATTGAACTTAATTGACTGGAAAAAAACAAACCAAGTAAAAAACAACACACTTAGGAGATGGAGTTTTATTATTAACCAATATTCAAACATGAACTCTACAAAATAATGTATACATGTCTTGTCTACAGCAGTGACACACTCAATGATACAAATAAAGCATTTTTCTTACCGATATGTCATCCCCAATTGGTTCATCATCTTTGTCCACTACAAACAAGAAAATGACATGGAGATTTGGTAGATGGCAAACTAAACATTTCATAAATGCTTCAATTTAACGTGCAACTTCTTAAAATTTAAATTGTTGAATGCTTACAATCTTACTGAGCATCTACAACATTTCCAATTTTTTTATGTACGTAGTATTTCCATTTCCCTTGACATATTCCAAGAAGGGGCTTCACGCACCACACTTTCATTTTGATCCTTTTTTCCACCTACACTATAGTCCCTTTCTTGGAAACTAAAATCATCACCCATATAAATCTTACAGGTCAAATTTGATTTCAGGTTAAAATTTTTTAACCTAGGTAGACTCTTACATGTAATTTCCTTTGTCCGCTAGGGATTGGAGAGAAAGAGAATTGATAATCAACCTACTGGGTAGGTTAAATCAAAATTAACCTGTTCACAATCAAACTTGAACTGTAACATAAATTATTAAACAAACAGACAGATAATCTGTCTCTGATACAGTTGTACTATAATCAAATTCAGCTGTAATATGAGGAATAGGGTTTTACAAGTTGGCTAGTCCAATAGGTCAGAATTCCTATTTAGCATGCAGTTGACTCCCGATAACTCGAAACCTCGCAAACTCGAACCAAAGTCGGTTTCCCCTGGATTTCCTTCTTACATTTACTGTAATTTTACCCTCAGTAACTTGAATCCTCAATAACTCGAGCCTCCCGCTAACTTGAAGTAATTTTTGTTTCCCTTCAGATCATTTCTATACAATGTTACCCTCGATAACTTGAACCATGTTAAAAGTGCATGACAAGTCGGGAAAAAAGCCATGTACTGAAGTCCGAAACATTGAATTTATTTCAAAACAAGTGAGTCAATTCTTCGTCTTCACTATTTTGTCACTCCAGTTCAAATTCAGTGTCTATCCCTGTACACTTTGTTGCTTAATTGCATTCCCTCCCCATCCATTTGCTTATTTCCCTACTTCCGGTTATTTGCTTCAAACTCCTGATAACTTGAACTCCCAATAGCTGGAACTTTTTTCAGTTTCCCTTGAAGGTTGGAGTTATCAGGAGTCAACTGTATCTGTCTTTACTACACCTGAACCATATATATCTCCATATCCGTCTTCCTCTTGATCATCAGCATCTTCATAATCATCATCAACATCTTCAAACAAAAAAAAACGAACATTAGAAGAAAATCATTGATAATCCTCTAACTGCACTGGACAAGGGATCATCATAATTTTTCTTCACAAAGCAGATTATGTAATGTAAAGCAGCTTAAAAGCTGATCGTGGACCAGCTACAGCAATACAAACACATGTAGACACACAAAATCCAGTGAGATTGACCACACTATTGTGATCTACATCTCCTCCTACTCTTTACCAACAGCAGTGTGGTGTCTCTGACATCCCAAAAGAATCAAAACAGTAAAAGAGCTTTGAGACTGGCAGGGATGTAGCTCAGGAAAAGCTACTGTAAGCAGGCTTTTTTATTAGTCAAGCCAGCTTTTTCAATTAATTGCACCTTCCAAATTACCCCATAACTTTGTTTCCTACAACAATTTGAGCCAGTAGGAGGGTCTTTCTCAACTGGTGAAATTGGCTGGTAGCTGGCTCTTATTGACATCCATGGAGTTGGACTTGACCTACAGGTTTCTGTCCTTATCCAAAAGGACTAAAACTGAAAAACAAGGTCTAACACTTTGCAGATGTTTAAAAAAGGCAGCATACGCTATAATCTCCTGCCTCATTAAAGACCCTGAGTGTCCCTCCAGCTGGGGTTTGAACCTATGACCTCCCACTCAGTAGACCAGCCATCATCCAATTAAGCTAACTGGGCAGTGTTCACGAAGCGTAGCATGAGGATCACAGAACACAGACCTGCTTCCTCTAAGATAAAACCAGTATGCCGCCTTCTCTTCTTTCTTTGCCTGTCATCCTCAAAATCATTATCCTCATCATAGTCATCGTCATCTTCTTCATCCTCTTCATCCTCATCATCTTCTTCTCTGGTGATATCCTCACCTTCCTAAATATGTAAATGTTGTGATGTGTATATGTTACAAGTCAAAATTTAATTCAGGTTAAAAATTTTTAACCTAGGTTGATTCTCTATTTTCTCAATTTTCCTAGCCTTAATTCATGAATAATCAGGGCTAGGAGACAAAGGAAACGGAGAATCAACCTAGGTTTAAAAAAAAATAACCTGAATTTAATTTTGACCTGTAACATATACAGTATTAACTAAACTTATTTTAGCAAAAAAACATTTCTTTATGTAACTGAAATTTGTATCCTGGTAACACTATGACCTTAACTAAAAGGGGATGGATCTACATGTAATAAAATCCAAAGAAAAAGTTACACATATAGTACTGCCATTAAAGTTCAGTGCTAATAGATGGCTTTCACAGTGACGTCATCAAATTGTAAAGTCAAAATAGCAAGGTCTTACGAATTCTTATTTACACTAGGTTGAAGATAAACAAAAAGTTAATCTTTGTACAAGTTTTCAGTCCCGTAGCATGTTTCATTTCGAAAATACAGCAATTTGAACTTCCGAGTTTTCAGAGTGTGTGACACCAAAAAAGGAATGCTGTCTCGTTGAAAAAAAAGTCTCTCCTCTTGATTTTCAGCAGTATAACCATTTCAAGCATTAGAAGATATGTTTATGTGCACGTAGGCTAGTTCTCGAGTGAAAAGAAGGAGCTTTTATAGAAAAAGTGAACTCCAGATGTTTTTGTTGATTTTCGGTGGCCATATTGGTGCACCAAAACTGTGCACCAATATGGCGTCTCCATACAAAGCTCTACAAAGATGCGTGAAACGTTTCAGCAAATAACTCAGAAACGGTGGGCCAAAAAGACCTGAGACTTGGACAAATTGTTTAAAAATTAGTCTTTTATAACATATCATTTTCTTGGCTTCTTTCACTGAACGGTTTCCAATTTATTGTTTTGTTGCGTGACAGTGAAAACGATCTATAGATAGGGTTCATCTTAAATGCGGGCCTGTACAACTTGAATCTATCACTATAAAATCATCTGTGATAATATCAGGGTTCGCAAATACGCCAAATTTGGCGTATTTTACACCAGAATTGTTCAGATGACTCCACTGAAGTTACGAAGGGAGTCACTTCGACTCCAGAAATTTTCGGTAACAAACACAGTTTTGTCCTTACCTTTTTCGCAAGAAATACAATTTACGTTAATTGTAAACGTTGTAATCATCGAAATTAAAGAATTATACTGCACGACAAAACAGGACAAGGGTAAATTAAAAATCAAAGTTACTCGATGACTGCCATCATGGATTTGAGCTTTCCAGGTCAGTGGACCGCCACAGCTACTTCATGTACCCCTCATGATAGTGTATACACGCCAGGACCACATGCTGGAAAGTCTGAAAATGGCTTTTTTTGGTTGTGATACTTGACTCCAAATATTCTTAAATGACTCCAAAATTTGTGAAGCAGAAGTCACACTGACTCCACTCATCAATAAAATTTGCAAACCCTGAATATCCTAGGCTAGAGTGGGAAAAAGAAACATCAACCAACACCTACCAACTGCAGCAGGATGATTAAATATGAAGGAGGACTGGTTTGCAGGGCTGGCCCCAGTTGTTCAAAAGATGGATGGCGCTATCCATTGGATAAGTATTAGGGAAACCAAGAAAATTGCACTAGCCAGTAGATAGTGATTTAACCAGTGGATAGTGCTGTCCACCTTTTCAACAACTGGCACCAGGAGGTCAAAGGTTCAAGTTGTCGTTGATTCTTACTGGGATAAAACCAAGACTTTGGGTCTCAAATAACCAAGCTAGAAGTACGTCTTTTGCCCTGAAAATGATCTCAAGTGGCATGTAGCTAGCTAACCCAGCTAGTTTACAGGCACACCACTCAAATAATTTGAAACAAATAATGCAAACAGAAGGTAACAGGATTAAAAACCCCACCTGGCAGGAGATAACCAGTTGGCTATTTAAAAGTGTGGGTGGGGTGTTGAACAAATCCAGCAAGCAGCCAGATGGGACTCAAACCTAAGACTGCCAGATTAAGAGTCTGCCACACTGACCACTCGTTCTTTTCAACAGATTTACCTCAATTTGTCCTGAAGCTTTCACTATGAAGATGAGAGCTTTTCAATTTTAACTTTTTACATACTGAGATGGTGTCACAATCTTCTCCAGTCGCTCGAGTTGAGTGGCTTTGAAAATAAAGAGGATATAGCGGCTATCTGGGTCGAAGTTAAATTAAACGACTGACTATTGCGGACCACCGAGAATATTTCATTTCTCAAAATTGACCTTAAACTGTGCATTAAACGTGCCATGCGTTGCAGCAAGTTCAAACTGTTAGTAAAACAAGGCTATAAAACAAAACATAAATGATAATAATTGGTTTGCAAGCGCCGGCGAGCAAAACACAGCTGTTAAATACTATTTCAAATTGCCAAGCACTCGCAAAGAGATAAATCAAAACAGAAAACTGTTGAATAGATAGACCGTTACCTCATCAGAATATTGAGAATCGTCGCTGTCTGACATGATCTGTGACAGAAAAGAAGGCTAAAATCAAAGGCAGATTTGAGTTCTTCCGTCCAAGATGGCGATCACAAAGGTAATACGGGACTTCCAATGGAACAGGTGTCATGTATTGGAACATAAGGTGTCTTTCCAAATTCTACGCGACACTTCAAATATACATACATGACAAGACAAACGGGTGATTGTTTGATTGTNACTGTTGAATAGATAGACCGTTACCTCATCAGAATATTGAGAATCGTCGCTGTCTGACATGATCTGTGACAGAAAAGAAGGCTAAAATCAAAGGCAGATTTGAGTTCTTCCGTCCAAGATGGCGATCACAAAGGTAATACGGGACTTCCAATGGAACAAGTGTCATGTATTGGAACATAAGGTGTCTTTCCAAATTCTACGCGACACTTCAAATATACATACATGACAAGACAAACGGGTGATTGTTTGATTGTCAGTGCCTTGTGGAAGGCGAGGGAAAATGCCTAAGAAGAAAAGAGATTACTCAAGTTGCGAGAGTAATTTTAGCAACTGTAAACCAGTTAAGTCCCGTCAGAAGGTAAGAGAAGAAAAATTTGACAAAGTGGGCAGTATGTTAGAGGTTTTCTTTTTCGCTGTTTCCAGACATGTTCGGCTGACATTGGAGTACTCTGCATGTGCCCGGCAGTGGAAATTTTCTCATTTTCTACTCTGCTTTGTTTTACTCTTGGCCCTGGCCTACATGTAACTTACCTAATCTACCGGACTGCGAAAAGAAAAGCTGATTTTGTCCGGCCGCAGCCGCCCTCCCGCGACTACTGAGGTTTTCCGTGACGCGTGATGGGTCCCATCCTCGGAGACCCAAGGGCAGTAAGTCGGGTTGGGAGAAAGGGCGGGACGAAAGTCTTCAAGTACGGGTGAAAGAGCCCCTGGGTACCGACTCTCAACAATCTAAGCGGATGCCGGGTCCTGATTGGGCACAAAAAATGTTTTGTATTATTGTGCCCAATTAATTGGCAAACAGTTTCTGCTGGGTTCTTTTCGTGAGTTCGTACACGACGGCTATTGTCTTGCCACACTTGCCCAGTTTGTTCACCAAGCTTGTGTGTGCAAGGAAAACTTTTATTTTCTACTTTCCTAACCAGAAACAAAGGAACTACTGTTTTGCCATCGAAAAAACGTTTGGGATGTTATCAACAGGAGCAATTCAATTTGCCCCGAGAACATTCTGTTTTTGACTCATCACAATATATCGTAAATAATGGCAAGTTTAAGATGCGGTGGCGACGAGAAAGTCAAATAAGCAATAGCTTGGCAAGGCAAAAAAACACTGCATATGCATCACACTTTTTTGTACATTTCTTTGCCTTCAACTGCACGACTACCTGTGAAAAAGCCTAATCAGTCATGTTTTGTGAAGGACGTAAACAAGCAATGACAAAATTCATTCTCTTCATGAACTTGGATATGGTTGATAAAAATTCAGCTCCAGAAGAGTTTGTTTGCACTTGACAAAGTAAGCCAGTTGGAATAATCACGATAGAAACTGAAGAAATGGGAATTCCCTCTTCCGTGCGACGTTTTTGTGGTTGGCGGTCATCATGGTATCTTTTAAAAACTCCCTAATATTCATGCAAGACATGACAGATGCAAGCGTGAATACCTGTTATAAGCTCAAGCTTGTATTTTTGGAAAAGGGTCTTTAGTTTTCGGGCAGACAGTGTTTTGAAATCAGATGGGGATTTTATATCAAACTGAAAGTTTCCCGACTGCGTGCATTTCTTTGGTGCATGAGAGACAAGCCGTGATTGAGACAATAGCCGTTGTGTACGAACTCATGAACTCAGGAGAAACTGTTCGCTGATTGGGCACAATAATACAAAGCATTTTTTGTGCCCAATCAGGAGCCGGCATCCGCTTGAATTTTTGAAAATAGCTCGGTGAGAGTCGGTACCCAGGGGCTCTTTCGCCCGTACTTGCAAACTTTCGTCCCGCCTTTTCTCCCCACCTGACTGACTGTCCCTGGGTCTCCGAGGATGAATGGGTCCCAAATTATCAGTGTGATGCGTGATTGGGTCCAAAATAGCTGCGTGATGCATGACTGGACATAGCAGTGTGATGTGTGATTCACTATTTTCATAATAAGTGACCCATGATTTTCTTTTCTGATTTCCGTGATTGCTGAATGTCATTTGAAACTAGAAGCGCAGACATTGAAATCAGGTAGTCATGACATCATTTTCTGGTCCCTTTTCGTATTCCTCAAGCTCAGCTGATCTCCTTTAAAAATCATATCTTGACTTACATGATGGCAAATTTATTTTCCCTCTGATGAGGGTTGTACTAAAAAAAGTCAGTGTGATGGGTGGTAGGTAACTCTCCTTTGCCACCCTGTAAGACCTTATCTTCTTTTTTGTAAGCTTACAAAAACTCACAAACAGTTTGCAAGAATAGACTCGTACATGGTACAGTTGTGGGATGAGTACTGCACCCTAACCTTTCACCTTGGGTGCCACGCCGGTGGAAATCTTGTGCAGTCTTCGGTGTACTGGTGCTCGTAACCATTTAGACCAATAGTAAACCATATCATATCAAAAATATGGTGGAACCCTTTTGAAACGTCCACCTTTGGAAAACCTGTAATCCCATATAATGAGACTGCGGTCATCATTAGCAGAGCTGATAAACAAACTCTTAATAGTAAGAAATTTAATATTTTCACCTTCGCTATTTTTTATCAGTCAAACAGAGAAAACAGTGATATTGAATTGATCATATCGCTTGACAGAAGATGGATAAAAATAACACAACAATGCACATTGTGTAAATAAACACATTGTTAAGGTGCATTAATGCTCCCTTTGATACCTGACTCAATAGTTCATGTATATCAGATAACCGAAAGAACATCCTTATATTTCTGCAGTGTCTATCCCTGCTGAAACCAAACTAATAATGCACTATACTTCACTGGCGATTACAACCTAAAAATAAAGGTTTGAATTTCTTACATAGCATTACCATTTTCAGATACCAAGAATTTCTTATGACCAGGAGCCCATCACCTCCTGCTATGACACAGTACAGCCACAAAATCCAGCCTCAAATAGTAAAGGAAAACAGAATCGTTCTTTCGTAAAGCAAATTAGGAAGAGGGTAAGGATTTAAGCTATGTCTGTATTTGTAGCTGGTGTCTATGCTCTTTAAATTTTTTTTTAGAAGGCTTGCCAGATCTTTTATGGCATGCCATGTCTTTTAACCCATTCGCCCTTGGAGATTTTGCTGAAAAATGCATTTTGAAGCAAGTCAAGCGGTTTTCTGGTCACTGTCGCACTAGTAAGAGCTAAAACTTACCAAAAAGCCATTTACAGGTTGTACACTTTGTAGCCTTCTGATCCAGATGCAACATACTAGCTTGTGAAGATCGGGCATGTGCAGAAAGCAAAATTTCAAGCTAGTTTTTGGGTTAAAAAGTGACACAGCAGTCTTGACTTTTACTTTTCACTTTCTCTCCTCCCTTCTTTTTTCGTCTTTCTTACCGCATTTTTTTTATTTTGCTGGGCATTGTTTAGGCTTCATTTTGGTGGGAAAAGGTTTTGGGAAAGCTTTTAGGATCTTAGTGGAACATCTATCATCTATCATCTAAAAACTGCAAATTTCTAAGAATGATGACTTTTTACCATACATGTAGATGATACCAAAGACAATAATAATACTCTTTTTTTCTTTTCAGTTGGATAAGTGGTACTCAGCGACAAAAACTCCAGCATGTGTGATATACCTAAGAGGTGGTACTGTTCTCTGTGAAGGTAAAGTCTATTGTAGATTTTTAATCAGTTTACATGTCAACCACATCTTGGTAAATCTCGTACTTGGTATTGTTAAAAGCAGACAGAGCACAAATTTTAAAATTTTTGTTGCATACTTGAACAAGGGACTTGTAGTAGATAACTTAAAGTGAACTGAGCAAAACATCACCAGGATTTTCAGACCAATAAAATAAGTATATTTTACTTTTAGAGTTTGAACAAGCCTGAGATAATCTTGCATCAAATTTAATTGCTCGGTAGAAACTAAGTAAGGTAATAGACATTGATGCATGTAATAATTTGACTTTTACTGATGTACAGATGTACTTGTAACCACAGTTATGCCTTCTCTTGAAAGGATCACTGCTGATCACATCCCTTCAATTTAAATACAGCTTTTTGACAAGTTTATTTTGATATAAAGTTCACCTTGAATTAAGCTTATTTACAGTACATTTCCTATCTGCACTCACTTGAATCATTATCATTATTTTTGCCAGGCCCTGAATTTCTGAAAGCCAGGTTTGGTAGAAATGTTGACATACAGAGGAAGTTCCTTCTTGCTGTCCTTAATCATGGTTAGTCACTGGGACAATAAATTGCAGTTATTCAGACTGTTCCATAAAAATGTAACTGCTTGCAGAAGTACATACAGTGAAATACACCATACAAGATGTTGTGGATCAATGATATCATGTATTCAATTACTTTTTGTTTGTTGTCCCATGAGTAATATTATAATAGTGAAACAATAAAGAGAAAAAATTTCCAGGGGCAAACTTAAATCACATCATAATTACAGATATGTTTTATGATAAATACTTTTACTTAATTCAGCTGATTTGAGTAACATAATGGTGATTAGTGAGTTATTGGTCATAAATAATATTTTTAAAACAGTGTTAACCAGGCTGGGCAGATCCAGAAAATTCAGAAAGAAAGGATCCAAGAAATTGAGGGGGTCACCTGTCCACTGAAAAATCTGGGCCATGGAGATACTTTTTATTAGCACACAGAATGTAACTTCTGTTGGGATGTTAATTATACAATGTAGGCTTTGGAAGACAGATTCCCAGATAATTTTTGGGATATGCTAATCTCCTTGAGCAAGGCTTAGAGGCACCCATTATAATAATAATAATTATCATTATAAAATTTTTATGCAGAAGTTTACTTCTAGGTAACAACGTCCAGTCTGAAGAGGAGATTTCCTCCGAGAATGTGAATGGCGAAGCACATTTTCCTGTTTCCCTTCCACCAGAAGGAGGAAATTATAAAGTTGAAGATCTTCGAAAAATTGTCACATCTTGTGTGACCATTGGGAAAAGTGGTAATGGTATTAAATATTATCTAACTGCAAGCTATCCTGAATCCAGACTTTTAATTGAGTTGACAGTTCAACCGCATTCATCGGGGAAAGGGGGGGGGGGAGTACTGTTGAAGCAAGTTGGGAAAGAAAAGACCCGCCTGGCCTCCCAGGTGAACTTTGCCTCCCCCATTCTCTGAATCTAAATTTCAGGCACTTTAGTCTGAAATAAGGTACATTTGTTCACATGCACAGTTGTGTAGAATTCACTAAGGATATGCTAGAGTTAGAAAAAGTTCAGTGAAGAGCCTCTCGGCTTGCTCTCAGGCAAAATGAAAATGCTATTTCTGTAGATTCTGTGTTTGTCCAGCATCAAGGCCACCTTATCATGTCGTGGTTGCAAACCAAGAATAAAAGCACTGTTCAGTGTTTGTTGCCTACTTTTCCTCTACAAACACATGACTAACAGTTAGCACACAGATGAATGTGTGTTGCACTGTTAATGAAATATCTCCTTAAGTTCATCGTTATTTGATTGTTTTGTTTCTGTATTATAAATTATAGGGTATTGTAATCCCTATTGGGGAAACGCAGAATATCGACCCTGCTGGTGGCCACAGGAAATTCCATTTGCCTCACCCTGCACAGGAAGTATGTCGTGGCTAAAATAGTAATACTCAGTTGTCATCTATTATGTAGATGTCATAGGTCAAAATTTAATCTAGGCTAACCTCTTTTCAATTTACGTTGATTCTCAGTCTGCTTTGTTCCCTACCCCCCCCCCTCCCCCTTACAGGGCTACTTCATAGTTATAGTGAGGGGGATGATTGAAAGGGGGCAAACCTCAAAACCCAAAAATGTCCCTAAACCAAAAATCTCAAGCGAAGTTTTCTTGCCTTAAAAATCCTCCATAAAAGACATAACAGAAAAAAATTTGATGTGTGTGGTTGTTCCTTCATACCATCTGCAGTTTGCATGAGCTATAGATTAAAGTACATGGTTTTCTATCTACCTCTTAAGTGAGTTTTATATAAAGTAAAAAGAACAAGATGAAAAATGCCTCCTGGCCAAAAATCAACCTGTCAGTCAAAATTGGTGGTGAGATATAAGCAGTGTTACTCTGATGTCTCAATTTAGATCCTTCAAGAAATAGGCCTTGTCGTAATCTCACTACCAATTTCCACTAACAGGCTTATTTTTGAAAACAGAACATTTTTAATAATCTTGTGATTTCTGGATTTGCCAAACAGTTCAAATTTTCATAATTATCGTCAAATTTTTGTGTTATCACCTGATTTTAGTCTATTTAGAAATCTGCTTGTTCCATCTTTCAACTCTTTACATGTTTCTTGTAATTTATCACAGTCTGTCTACCCTGGGTGCCAGAGACTTTTCTAGTGCAGTTTCCGGTTTCTGTCAAGTCTTTATAGGGACCTGTGGTGCCACTCAAGATTCCTCCTGCACGCAAGAAGAAAACCTCCTGTACCCGGGTACATCCTGTCACAAAAGACTGGGAGCTGGGGATTTCCCCCTAACTACTTTTATAGGATAATTAATACAAGAGGAAAACAGAGCCAATTGAAAAGAAATCCCTGGCTGTTCCTGTTTACTATTAACTGAATATAGCCAGTATCTCAAAATCTTATATCACATTTATGTGTATAATTATGGAAAATGTCAGATAGTTATACAATAATGTACTTGTAAAAGGTCAAAATGAAATTCAGGTTACCTGGGTTAGTTCCCAGTTTTGTTTGTCTCCTCACCTTAATCATTCATGCATAGGGGCAAGCAGACAAGGGAAATTGAGAATCAGTCTAGGATGAATCTGTATTTAATTTTAACTGTAACATACTTGTTCAATTAACATAATCATTGCTTTCAGAATCCAGATTATCCAAGATGCATCTTGTCAGGGTGATGGAATGCTATCGTTCATTTTATTCATCTAAAACCAGTTCAGGTCCACATATTGTACCAGCACAGCAGGTCAGTAGTGGTGATGAAGAAACCACAACCCAAGAAGATGGACAGGAACCTGGTGCGCATAAAATGATATTTATATTGTATTACCACAGCAGGACAGTAGTAGCAATGTAGAGGTCTACAATGACCCCAGAAGATGCAGGCCAGTGTCCTGTTTCATGCACATATTAGGGAGCTTAAGCATTGTAAGCATTTTTGAGCGACAGACTTCAGCCAGAAGTGGACTTTCTGTATCACTGGGCAGTGGTTTGGTTCAAACTCTCGCGTAAATCGTCTATAATTATACACTGTAAGAGAAAAGAAACTTAGCAATAGAAATTTGTTAGCATCAAGGCGTATAAAAAGATAGAAGGCCATACTTTGAGTTGACATGGGTGGCTAAAAAATGTCTTTCCTTAAGCTCCCTCTTGTACCACCATGGCTGTAACATTGGTGAACGTTGAAAATATTGGTCACAAATAATGTTTTGCCTCTTTAATTAAAGGCTTATTCCTAATACTTATATTTACCAGGCCAGGCAGATCTAGGAAATTAAGCAGTCAAAGAAGTGGTGGGGTTCACCTATCCACTGAAAAATCTAGAACTCTGTCTCCTCAAGCAAGGCTTAGAGCCACCCATTAGGATAATCATAATTATCATTATCATTATCTTTATGCAGTACATGTAGTTTTCTTCCAGATAGCAACGACCAGTCTTTAGAGGAGATTTCCTCCCAGAACATGAATGCCCAAGCACATTTTCCTGTTTCCCTTCCACCAGAAGGAGGAAATTGTAAAGTTGATGATCTTCGAAAAATGGTCACAAAATGTGTGACCATTGGGAAAAATGGAGGTGATGTTAAATATTATCTTACTGAGTTTTTCTAATTCTAGTTGAGCTCACAACCTCCTTCCTAGCGGGGGAAGGAGCAAGGAAGACCTTGGGAGCAAAATCGGGCAAGAATTTAAGACCCACCTTGCACCTGAAACTTTCCCTCTCCCATTCTCTGAGACTTCAGCTTCTCAAGGAGGCTTGTCCAATACACACAATTGAAGTCTGGTCGTCTAATTATTATTGAAGTTGAGCCATTGTTTTGGATGTCAGGATGTGGTTTCTAGGGAAAAGAGTAGTGTCCACTGTCTGTAATTGCCAGTTGAGTAGTTTCCTCTGTCATGTAGCCAGTTCGATAGGGTGGTCACATCCCGTCAAGGGAAATCTCATCACAAAAATGAAAATGCTAATTATGTGGAAAATTTTTTATTGTTTTGTCGTGCATCAATGCCACCATGTTATTCTTATTCTTGGTTTATTCTTAGTTTGCAACCAAGAGTAAAGCACCGTTTAGTGTTTTTTGCCTACTTGAACTCTACAAACACTTGTATAACTGCTCACAGATGAACTGTTAATAAAATATGAAATAAATAGGTGTTGCACTGTTAATAAATTGTTTTTTTCTGTATTATAAAGGGTACTGTTCTCCACATTGGGGAAAAGCAGAATATCGACCCTGCTGGTGGCCTCAGGAAATTCCATTTGTCTCACCCTATGCAGGAAGTATGTCTTGGCTAAAATATTTTGTAGTACTACTCAATTGTCATCTATTCTTTAGATGACATAGGTCAAAATTAAATTCAGGCTAAATTTCTTTCATCCTATGTTTGATTCTTCATCTGCTTTGTTTCCTTGAGTGCTCTAAAGTTAAAGCTAAAAATGTCCCGGAACCAAAAATTAACTGCAAAAAAATCCCATACTGACTTTTCATACAGGATTAAATGATTTAACTTTCAAAATAATTGAACATTGAATATTTGTGGTTGTTGCAAATTTTTTGAACAGCATCAAAATCTCTGTTATAGATCAACTCATTCTTGCACTAATATTTGGATTTGGGGTTATATATTTGGTCTAAAAAATATTTGGATGTAAAGTTTAGCCATATCTTTATCAGACATAAAGAAACTTGTTAAACATTTTCTTTTGACTCTTCTTGATGAATTATCAATGAGTTTTTGAAGAATACGCCAACAACAACCAATCCCACAATTTTGAGTTATGGTGACATCAAATTTCTATAGTCTTTAGAAATCTGCTTATGTTCCAACTTCCAACTGTGTATTTTCTAACTTGTCACAGGTCTGTCACAAAAGGCTGGGGGCCGGAGATTTTCCCCCAACTACTTTCATAGGAACCAAAACCCTGTTCTCATATCACATTCATCTATATAATTATTGTAAAATTAGAATAANGAGTTATGGTGACATCAAATTTCTATAGTCTTTAGAAATCTGCTTATGTTCCAACTTCCAACTGTGTATTTTCTAACTTGTCACAGGTCTGTCACAAAAGGCTGGGGGCCGGAGATTTTCCCCCAACTACTTTCATAGGAACCAAAACCCTGTTCTCATATCACATTCGTCTATATAATTATTGTAAAATTAGAATAAGTTTATTTTAAATGGTTATACATTTATTTGTAAAAGGTCAAAATTAAATTCAGGTGTTCTCAATTTCTTTTGTCTCCTCGCCTTAATTTTTCCTGTATTGGATGAAGCAGACAATGGAAATTGAGAATCAACGTAGGTAACGTAATAAAATATTTCCTCAAATACGTAATCATTATTTGCAGGATCCAGATTATCCAAGACGCAACTTGTCAGGGTGATGGAATGCTATCGTTCATTTTATCCATCTAAAACCACTTCAAGCACACACAGTGTACCACCACAGCAGGTCAATAGTCGCAATGAAGAAACCATAACCCAAGAAGCTGGCCAGCAACCTGCTCCACATAACATTATCTATATTGTATTCCCACAAGTGAACAACAGCAGCAATGTACAAACAGTAACACCAGAAGATGCAGGCCAGCGTTCTGATGCAGATATTGTACCACCACTACAGGAAACTAATGACAAGCCAGAAATCTTAACACAAGAAGATGGCCAGTCAGAAGTTCTATATGCGCTACAAGGTGCTGTTGGTGCTACTACTTCTATTTTGACCGAGAAGGACTAGAGCAACAAAACTGTTTCCTTCAAAACGAATTGAAAGGCGGTGTCGTTTTATCACATGTTATCAGGAATGAAACCTGTCTTGAAATGGCTTAGGTTGTTGCAGAAAGAAGAGAGTACACTTGTAGTTAGACTGTTTGCAACAAAATATGTACAAAATTTGAACAAATGTCTTGCTTATGGCGTAATTCCCTTCCAGTCAGAAGTCGTTCTTCCCTGGTGAACACTTAAGTGCTCAGAGCAATGCAGTGTTGTAAGCTGGATGCCAGAAACTTTGGTTCTCTTGTCTTGTTTTGTTGAAGTCTACAGCCTTTGGCCAAAGATATGCCAGCTGCAGGCCCACACCGAATCAGCCTTCTGCACGCAAGAAAAAAGCTCTAGTACTCATGTTATTTGTCACTCGAATATTTTCTTAGTTCTCTCAAATTTCATCACAGATCAGGCCATCTCTGGAGAGAGTTACAATGACTGGGATATCCAGTCCCTCGCTCTAGTTCAGGGAGGGTTTTCTTTATGTAATGGCTTGTAATTGCGTTTCATTTGTAAAATCGAAAAATGCGAAGTATGTGATGTCGCCAACAACTTATTCCACATCAGTCCTTGCAGTTCATGTATTTATTGTTACCTAATCACCCTCCTTGGCAGTAGTATAGTGCACACCAAATGAACCTTGTTTTGAGGAGGAATCTCATTAACTTGAGGGGATATGCATGACGTTATAACCTTTAATTGTGAACATATAATGCAGTGAAAGATAGTATCACATGCAATTTTAAAATGTGTTGACGGGTTTGACAAGTTTACTGTTTTCTCTACACCACAACCACCAATATAATATTGGTTCACGGGTACACCGTTTTGGATAAATGGTAAGCAAAATTCGGGACTGGTAAATTTCGTTCCAGAGTCGTATTAACCATTTGTGCAAATCAGTTCCATGTACTGAAAAACAGCCGCGAAGGTCTGAAACTGTTATCTAAGATGGCGTTTTGTTTGGAACACAACGTCCGGTAAAACATGACTACCTTTACAGATGTCCTGTTGCTCACGGAAATGTTCTGCCGGAATGCCCCAAGAAGTCGAGTTCCATTTACTTTTCAAACAGATTTTCCGGAAACGTTTTGTGACTGGTAATAAGAAACAATCATTGTCTTCCCTTCATCTCTAACACCACCACAGTAATTTCTATTGTTTTCCTTTCACTACTACAATTCCATTGCTTTGAGATCCTCCTTCACTCCACCTCACATCGACCTTACTGTGATCCTCAATCGACCATCGATCGATCCTCTAGAAGTGAGAGGAAGTTAGGGAAAACAACAGAGTTGTAGTGGCGCAGGGGCGGATCCAGGATTTTTTTTATGAGGGGGTGCACTCGTCTCTTGCTCTACTTCAACACCAATAAACCACATAGTTTTTTTTTTTGCAGAATACCAGTTGTATAAGAAAACCGCGGGTCATCTCAGGGGGGGGGAGTGCGCACCCCCTGCACCCTCCCCCTAGATCCGCCCCTGTGGCGGTGGTGGAGGAAAAACAGTAGGATTGTGGCGGTGGTGGAAGAAAACGATGGAAATTTGTTTTTTTGGTTGTTTTGGTTTTCACGCTCTGGGGGACACAAAACAAAAGAAACCTACCCCACTAGGCCGGGGTCCCCCACTCCATGTAAACAGAGTCTTAGAAAAATACCACAAAGCTCTTTGTTTTCCCTCAAACATTTTACATAAGCATTGTTTTCAATTTCTTTTGGGACTACTTGCAATCGTCCCAAGAGAATATTAAAGCACAATTTATGTAACTGAAAGTTTTGGAGGGAAAACAATAAGGCCATGACAGAATATTCTCTCTTGAACGAGGAGGCCCATTCATATGTAGGCGATGCTTAACTCACCTCTCAACCCCGCCCTCCCCTATTTTTCCCTTGGTAAGTCACCCGAAGGCATACCTTATTTGATCGGCAAGGTGACCGACCTTCTCACTCGTCTATTTCGAACGTACCACTGCTTTTATCCGTGTACCTTCCACTGTTCTGATCGATCCATTTGCACACCCTGTTGAATTTTGCTCGTGACGTTGGGAGTTGTTGCGCAAAGGCTGGTTGAAACCAGTCAAACTTTTAGCCACGTTCAAACAGACGGGCGCATCAACTCCCAGCGTTGTTGGGAGTTGTTGGCCAATAGTTGGGAGTCTTAGACTTACCCACAAGTCGAGCTCGAAATTTCTTGTCGAGTGCAAAGCGCTTGTTTTTATGTTTTCGGTGGCAAAGTGGGTCGAGTGAGCGAGAGACCGGGATGGGGCCATGATGAGGTCAACAACCGGAACCGGAAACGAGGGGGGACTTTGAGAAAGTCTAGCTGGAGACTGAGAACTAGAGCTTTTGGTAGTTACCTCATGTATGAGCACTTGAAGTGCCGCGGAAGTAAACTGAATCAAGATGGCGGATCTGTTGTGGAGTTGCAGAGGTGATTTAGCTGTTGTGTGCGATACTGGGGTTAAAGTGTTGGGTGCAAGGTGAGAAGGAGACAAAACTATGTAATAAGAATTTTGCACAGCCCCAAAAATCTATTATTCATGCAGAATTTTCTTACCATTTCACACAAATAGTTATGGTCATAAAGTCGAAACGTGTAAGCTTATGCATGACAAAATATCAATGCATGAGGCTGTGCGGAAATCTTACCGACGACTGAAGTTTACGTTTAGAAATAGGTTTGCGATCATTTGTAGCACACTGCTTACAGAGTAAACTGCAAAATATCAGGTGGTGACTCAGACCCAGTTATGGCTTAAAGGCATGGAGTATGGCCTCGTGGTTTTGAGGCTATATACACAAAACAAAGTTCCTTGAAACAACAACAACTGCTATTTGAAGAATATCTGCTGGGCTAAACATCCATTTTTTCCTGAAATTGTGGAGGAAAAGACAATTTAAAAGTGCAAAGTTACAGTGATCAAGGTAACTGGTATGGTTTAAAGTTTGAAATTATTTTGAATGAATAATAATAAAACATTTATTTTTGGACTTGGCTTTTGTGCAATCTTAACAACCCCGCTCAATCTATGTAATTCTCGAGATCACACTTAGCCTCATATAACAATCAATTCACACCCATAATTCCTAGCTTAATATTGTCATGCCATGTCTGAAGTTAAAATTGCAAATATTTTTATACTGAAAATAGCCCCCCCCCCCCCTCTTGCTAAACCATGCAGCCATGCTACTGACTAGACAACCCGGGGGGGGGGGGGGGGG